GCGGACCGTGTTGAATTTAATTTCGCTTTCAGAATGAACCTTGAATACCACTTAGGTTTGAACGAAAGTATTCTGCAAATTTAAGTAAGACCACATGAATCATTCGAGAAGCGAACATTAATATTCATCTGCTAAACCTACAGATATTTTCTGACCTCATTTTTTCGAATAGAGACAGTGTAAAAATGAAAAAGATAGACAATGAGCGAGCGCTTTGATCGGAAAACAAAGACATCTGCCGATTCAGTTTTCCGACACCTGTGCGTATTGTGTTTTTTCTGGTTCATGAAATATTGGATAAAATAAAATGCAAAAATTTTAGCAATCACTTGTCTTTTCGAGCGTGCGTAGAAAACTTTACCACAAAATCGCGAAAACTGTATTGCGGTTTGTGTACCTAGGCGTTGCTAGGAAACTAAAGGACAATGTACTCGATGTTGTTTTTTTAATATACTGCAATACGGCTGCCTGTGTTACTAGACTACGTTTTATATACAACTCCTGTCAAGAACATGGGCATCCTGAACGCGCTGATAATATCCAGTGTAATTAATAATAATACATATGTACTTTATTATATCGTCTGCGAGTTAGCCATTCACGCTCCATGGCGATTAATAATATTCTCTAATTATTTTTAGCAGTAACGTCTCTAGCAATCAAAGTAGTTATAATTATTATCATAGGTTTAAAGAACACCCATTAAAGCTCGTTGTCTAACAGTAAAAACCCATTAAAAATATCGGGAGACATTTGTTAGGTTTACATACACTGTTCTTTGGGGGCGTTGTCTTATTCAATCCTTTATACTTGTTATACAAAAGATTTAGTAGATGATACAAAGTTTGATTTTCTATTTAGTTGTTACTTACAGTATAAACTACATTGTTGGCTATTATACCAAATCTGCTGGCGGGTATTAAACTTGGGACTGATCTCCTTTATTATGCTACTACTCAGGAATCAAGTTTATAAACTTACCAGTTACCACAAGTAGCCGTAGTCGATGCCAAGATATATTATTAAATTATACAGTGCCTAGTTTCTTGACCTCTTATTATTTTTGGAGCGTAATAACTCGTAAACCTATATTAATATCACATTGAAGCTATATTGACAGCTAATAAAACAGTATGAGCTTAGTAGCGACGTAAATTCCTCATGATCTCTCGACATACGAACGAACGCTCAAACGGCAATAAGTCTTACGCGTTTATTCGCAAAAATAAGTCAGCAAACCGTAAAATAAATTATGCAGCAAGAATCTCACCGAGAGTTATCCGATAACAGGGTTTAACTGCCACACAATTTTGAATCCGTATTTCTTCAAAGAAAATGCAGTCAGAGTTCATCGGATCCAATCTTAGAAGAAGTTATCTAAAATCCCATTTTACTTTGAAAAAAATCTCATTGGGGATGATCCTTATTATTTCTATTAATTTAAAATGTTAGGATTTTATTGAAATTTATGAACATTCTTACTGCATTTTTACTCTGACATTTTTCTTTTGAACTTTTTATGTATTTTTTTAATATTTGGTAGAATGGTTCTAAATCTTAAATGACAAACGCGGGCAGCAGCACCAGACAGAGCGCTAGACTGTTGGACGCCGTACTTGTATTGTACATATATGTCGCTTGAGACCATTATTTGTAGCTGACTTCGATATTTAGAACTTTTGTTAATATAATATTTTCAAATGTAATAAAAAATACTGTTACTGTTATTAAAATACTGAATGAAATCATCTTTTAATGATTTAATTAAAAAATAAATAATTTTGTACAAAATAATCCTTACACTGTATAGTGTAAGTAAATCACTGAACTAGATTAACGGTGACAGGAACCGGTATAAAGGACAGGAATGAGTAATGAAATGACAATGAACAGTCTTTCCCGTGGAGGGTAGGTGAATAAACTGCATTAATGGGGCGTCGCGACACATCGGCGCCAACTCCACGCGTGTCAAATAATATGTGTTATGTATATGTATGCAAACATTTGTACGTACAAATACATATTTATGAAAACATCACTATCTATGAATGAACCAAATAAGTCGTGTAGGTACCTATTAATAGAATTAACACCCGTGAGTGTCTAGTAAAATCTTGTAATTGGTTCTAAATCAATAAAACCTGATGTTGTATAGTTATTTTGACACAGCTTTTATTAGAACTTTCCTATTTTCTCACTGTGGTGCCTTGCGCTTTTGAAAACAATTAAGTTATATCTACGGAGCAAGATAGTACGCCGTCGTAATTAGATATAATTACAGGTACAATGTTTCCAACTAAGAAAATACCATTTTAACAGTTAATTAATTTACGAGTTAAAATGTTGCTCTCAGTTTTTCCAACAAGCGCTAGGGGGGAGTAAAGTTTATACTCAGTGAAATGAATAAATTTTCAAAATATGTAAGGTAGTTAATAATTCACATGGCATTTCGAATAAGGTTCCGTTATTTGTAAGGCGGAATAGAATCGGCAGTGGGTCTCGTACCGCAGTGTTATGTAACAGACTGCCGCTCGATATAGACTGTACCTACTACATGACGGCGGCGCGATGGCTACCGGCTGACGACGTCTGGTTATGCCGGCTGTTATCCTACAGGGGCTCTACGAAATCACTGTTCAATTGTTTAACCACATCTTGGATGTTTTTACCGATCGCGATGCACGATAGCCCGCCCCCCTCATATCGCTCGGTACCCTTTCATTCGAAACTTACTATTTGATAATATCCCTTAGGCACTGGTTTACGTAAGTCATCAATTTATTATCGATTTGTACAACTTTTTATAATTTATATCACTATTGGCATTCCTTCGAAGGTTGGGACACCCTCTTCTACGTTTTAAACACTGTAAAATATTTCGTTTTCGCCCTGCAGCGATACTACTTGCCATTAGGAGTACTTTCAATTCATAAAGTAAAAACCAAAAAATAAAGATTTCATTTTTTTAGTTTAACTCGTCGAGTACCGGTTTTGTAGACACAATTATAGAACAATAGGTTGCGGTCACCGGTGACCGCTTGGTGTTTGACAGTTTAAAAAGAATAATGGAAATACGCACATGAAACACTACACGTCAATTTGTAGACACTATTCACATCACACGTGCCGCCTGACGAGAAATACCTCTTCAAGAATTACATGGAGTGATGTTTGAAATGAAATATGAGTTCGATCGAATGCGCTTTCGAAGTTTGCTTTTTGTAATGGTTCACCAGATATTTTTTTATTTGAAACATTTTATTTCCTTGTAAAATTATTGTATTATCAAGACAGAAATAACTATTTTACTTGGAGGCGATAACGAAATAGATTTCACAGTGTATATTTCTCTCTTGCAAAGAAAGACAAGATACCACTCAAAATATTCTTTAGAAAATTAATGTATTCTATTTGGTACCGATTCTAGTCGTAAAATAAGCAAGCGAAGAATGTATAATAAATTAAGATTGTAATAGTTTTTGTACAAACGCTGGGAAATTAAAATACGTTCAATTGTAATTAAAACCTCTTGGAATTGTTATTATAATTAATAATTATGATACCCACAGGTATGGTTTACTACGCAACATTCTATAATGCATTGTTAATACCTTCAGTAGAATAAAACGGTACAAGAGACTGGAGCAAAGCTTAACAAAGCTTAAATCATCAGCTCAGTGAGATATTAGAACGAACGGAACAGACTGAGGGCTATCGCTAAAGCCGTACACCACACTATCATCTAATATTATGTAGTACTTCGGCTTCGCATGCGTTCCAGACTACCCCAGTCCCAAATTTTATGTTTTTTATGGGATAGCCGGTAAACGAGCAGACGGATCACCTATGGTAAGCAATCGCCGCCGCCCATAGACACCTGAAACACCAGAGGCGTTACAATTGCGTTAACAGCCTTTTGGGAATTGGTATTTTGAGGATTGTGGGGAATTTGGGGATTAGGGAAATTGGGGAGAATGAGGGGGGGGGGGAATTGGGCCACCGATAACCTCACTCACATGACGAAACATAACGCTAAGCGTTGTTTCACGTTGTTTTTCTGTGAGGCCGTGGTATCACTCCGGTCGAGTCGGCCCATTCAATCCCTTCAGCCATTTTGATGTGAAAGAGCAGCAAACACACACACATCCTCACAAACTTTCGTATTTATAATCTAATATTAGTAGGACGTACACTCGAGTACATGAATTTTCATCAATCTCTACCGCTGAACAGGCAACTAGTTTTGACAACGTTTTGCTAGCAAGTAAAGTGGGTATTATTTCGAGAAGCCGAAGTCTGCTAGTCCTAGATTACGTTTAACAAACACTCCGCGGTATAGTGTACAGTGCGCTTAACTTACTTAGAAGAGGTTTTGAGCGTGGTCGCCTCATATTGCGCATCTTAATACTTGAGACGTAACTTTGTCATAACTGATTGTTACCTTAATGCCTTTCCGAAATATAAGCACTTATTTGTATTAGCATATGATTAATGTAGATACCGATTGTTCGGACCGATCTATATTCAGATTTGAAGCTCGTGTAGTAGTTCAAACGCATTTACGTTTAAAGTTTTATCGATACATTCGTGCGATAGGGGCTCTCGGGACCTGCTTGCAGTCTTTATATAATTCATTTATTTCTCGCCGCAGTGTTGTGTAACCTATAAAGCAGCCATGTTATCAGCAGATAACAATAGATGTAAATAAGACCTATGCAGTTTTGTTCTAACTGTCACTTCCCAGAGTAGGTGTAGTTAATTAATAAAAAGTACTTAAAAACTAAGTAATTTAGAAGTTAAATATCAAGAAAATTAAAAATTAATTAAAATATTTCAACTACCTATAGAATAACAGTAATAACGGTGGTTAACCACCAACTTCCAAACTTCCATAGTTGAAAAAAGCCGTGCGCAGCGTCCACTCGAGCGTGTATAAGAAGAATTTTCAATAGACAATTGAAATGAAATTTGTTTTAATAAAATGTTTCTTTTGTCACCAGCTACCTGTACCCAACAATGGACGAATTGGCCAACCAACTCAACTACGTGCTTGGCCACTTTGGGATCAAGACGTTCATCGGATTCGGAGTCGGCGCTGGCGCCAACATCCTCGCGCGATTCGCTCTTGTGCACCCACAGAAGGCAAGTAATGTTATGTAAATGATTTCCAATACCAATAACTTTATAGTTATCATTTAAATACTACATCACACCTCTTCTCGAAACTACTATTACCAAAGAACTCGCCAAACGAAAAGACAGAGTGTGTGGTGGGTTGCTTTATGCAATGCATTTCCATTAACGTTACATGACTGAATAAATAACATTCAAAGAGTACCTCCTGCTTGAAATCCGAACAAGCACTTCGCGAAGCTTATAACTTCAGTAAAAACTTGCCACTTTTCCTCCGTCAAAAGTAGCAGCACTTTATTATTTCTGGGCGTAAAGCAAAGAACACCGACAGGTTTTTATTCAACACCTCCTTTTTATAAAGTGCAAGATTAACAAGCAACCATTATTTGTAAGCTGTTTTCCACGGTCGCTGTTCCGTGACAGAAAGCGGTGCGAAGAACTTCCATCAACATCTTATGAAGCTCTCGCTCAGTAATTGGATTGAGAAGCTGATAAAGAAAGTGGTAACACGGCGCACGGCGGCAAACTCAACTGCTTTACACGACACTCTCTATCGTTTACTTACAATATTGTTTTCGGCAGTAGATATATACCATGTTTTTTGTTTTTATTAAAAAATATTTCTTTTAAGCACTGCTTCGTGAAAGGGGCAAAGGAAAAATTGTAAAGGTACTAAGCTCTTTGAACGACATGTAAGCCGATGTGTAGAGAAATAATGTCCTATATCGCTATTCAAAGAAAAGACTCTCGCTGTACTCGTAGCACATTTGAATGCAGTAAATACTCCGTACATTCTGGTCGAGAGATATTGGAAGCGCATACATCAGGAGTGTTTGTTGTCTCTTTGTTGAGCACAACTCGGCCATGCACCACTCAGTGCACCATGGCGACGTAGCTCTTATCCGCTGACTGTGTATGTTAGCACTAAGCCTCTTAGTCCAGCCAAATGGGGTCGAAACTCCTGATATTGATGTTGCTACCATCGATATTTGTTTGGGGCTGCTCTAGTTTTTAAAACGTTTACCTTATCAGCACTTTACATTTTAGTTCATTTGGAAACACAATTTCAATTGCAAGTAGATCTATAAAGCAAAGTCGCGTTGTTAATTATTTTTCTAATTGTGTTTTTGATGAAGACTGTATTTATACAACACTTACCTCTCACTGCGTAGTACCGACAACTTGATAAACTCAATCCTGTCGTTCTACTAGTGTAAATACTTACGTGGTAGATAAATAAAAACGAGTGAGTAACCAATCAAGGCAGTCACAACCTCAGCGGCACGAGTAGTGTTGTGGATTATGCTCACTCCAAGCCTCCAAGGTGATTCTCGTTGAGACGAACAGCGAACACGGGCGAGGCGGTGAGTGATCGCTAATCACACAGACACAAATAGGTCGCGCACGGAACACGTCCGCTGTGGAAGAATTGCACAGAAATCCGCTATTATTTACCTTCCACTTCAAAGGTGCATTTCCTTTCAACGTTTCACTGTGTACACTCGGGTACGGACGTTCTTTGGTTTAGTAATCCAACCAATCCGCTTTGCAACCCGCTTTTCTTTTTAGCCGTAATCCCCCATGTCCTTCCTTCTTCATTACTTTTTTCTTTTGTATTGATTTGTCAATGTAAACGTTTGTTTTATAAGCCAAACACGGTATGCCTTTTAACGTAATTGAGAGGTTTTTGGAAACCACTGAAATATTTATAGCATTGGTTTGTTTTTAAATCTATGAATCTAAATACAATAAAGCACACATTGTTTATGTATCGCCCGGTTAAAGATTTTATTATCGACAGTAAACTGGTTTGATTGTGGTGTTAAATTAGATACACCGTTGAAAATAATGTTTGAATACAATATCATGTAATATTTAAACAAATTACATGAATAAATAATATTGTTTCGTGATCGTGACGTAACTATTTTAAGATTCGTACCTAGACAGGCAGGTAGACACAATCAGTTAAATCAAGTGTACTAATATAACAATAACATTAAATAAAAGGTAAATGAGAGTAATGAAACCGCACTTCAGGTGAACTCACACCAATAAATACAGGGCGATAGCTAACACGTCGTAATGATAGCTAACATTGAATATGTTCCCTACTCCACTAAATGAACAGGTGGTGTTTCACGCACAGTAAACAGAGCTGTTATCTAAAGGGGCTACGTGCAACGCGTAGGTACGTCCACACCATGTATTTATTTTCTCCGAACGGACTAGTTGAGTCCTCATTAAGTCCTTATTGATCCCCACAACAACGCGTGGTTTGTTCTAAATACGACGTGACGTTTCTTTCGCACAGTGATCATTCAACGTAGTCAGTCTCAGAAATGGCACAATCTTTCTTTTGCTTTCTGCACTCATGATGATTATTTTTATTGACATTGTCTTTACTTCTTCAACTATGACTTTCGTAGTAACTTTGAAAGAATTTTCTTTCAACTTCTACTCGTTTTGAAGAGTTGTAATGTAACCTACGTGGATTTATTTTATATGAACCTTTCAACTTCTCCTTAGTGATATTTTAAATTATGGTAATATAATAAAACTTCGGTAATAAAGAGTATTATAATTAATGATTACAAAACTTTATCAGCACAACATACAGTAACTGGATTATTACAAATACTTGTTTTGTAGAAAGTCCAATACATTTCGCCTCATGAGACAGTCTAGTTTCCGTTGTTCGTATTAAACTTTTGCTTGTTCGCATAGACGTACATTGAGATATAATACAATGTATTGTGGATTGCCCAGACAGATATTCCCTTACTTGAAATCTTTTTCGCGTTTGGAATCGCAGACAAAAGCTCTATGATTTGAAATGTTTATACAAACAGTCTACGTCGAAGGTACTTTGAAGTATAATATTATTGATGCCGACTATAAATGAGAGAATATCATAACATTTCATTATTTATGTTCTGTTACCACCGTCTTAGATAGAAATTATAATTTCTTCTTATGTAATAGAAACAATTTGATTTGTGACTCTGAATAGAGAAAAGGTATACAAGTTTTCGCTTAATAAGGCCTAATCCGCAGAATCTACTCATCTACAGGACTTGAAGTGTCTAATGCAAAAAGAAATAAAGTATCAAATCTTACCGATACATAAGAATGTATCTCATTTGCAACGAACGAAACACTTCATTAAGTCGATGAAAACACACAAATGAAGGTCACCGGAGCCAAGGCCTTTATGTAGTGCGGTATCAAGGTGACAGCCGCAGTGACAACACTTTACAGGGGTATCAATTACCCCAATCAATATAACCTACAACCTCTAATTACTGGGAATACTGAGGGAACCTCACTTTTGTCTCTCCACTTCGTTAGGAAAGCACTACGATGTATTCAATCAATCAGATTCTTCTTGATAACTGTAGCGTGAGGATTACTTTAATTCATGTAATTATTGCATCAATTTAATTAGTACGGGAGTGAACCAGCGAAGGTTATGTTTGAAGAAACGCAATTTTCGTGTATATCAATATTTTACTGAAGTAATTTATCTCAATAAATTACTTCTGGAAATTGACAGATGTGTGAATATAGTACGGCAAGGATGTGAGGTAAGAAATAGGTACCTACTCTTCTTAAATAGATACATACAAGTGATAAGTATTGAGTTGTCATGGGAACCTGCGACCGTGGGGACAATTTTATTACATCCAATTATTAACAAGTGTAAAGGAATAACGCTTCCATTAATTGCGTGTCAGTGAACTATTATGTACGACTGAATAATAAATAACTGGTGCCATGGGTGTAATGTAGATTTCTGGCTAGTTTTCAAATGGGTTTAAAAACCTCTTTATTTTGAAGCCGAATTAACTTTATTCCGTATAAATCAAAGATTTACTTTTTATGCTGTCTGGCTTGTGTCAACCATTTATTTATTGGTTGACCGTATAGTTTTAAGTTTAAGCGCTGCTTTTGAAAATGTGGTTTACCTCTTATTATATATTTACAGGAACAAACTATAAATATGTGCTGCCTCGTTGGCCGAGTGGTCGCAAGTGCGACTGCCGGGCAAGGGGTCTCGGGTTCGATTCCGGGGTCGGGCAAAGTATAACTGGGTTTTAAAAAAAAATCTCATTAGTAGCACGGAGTCTGGAATTGTGTCCGGTATATGGCAATAGGCTATTACATGGGACTCATAACATAAATAGTGAAAAGTAGGTGTTACGTTGTAGGTACAGTGGCAAAATGAGCACCTCTGCCTACCCCTTCGAGGATAAAAGGCGTGATGTTATGTTACCCTGTAAATATGTACCTATTTATGACGAATACTTCCTTCTTTGTCTAATCTCTAAGCAGAAAATGCCATGATCTACACCGGATTAACCACGTTACGAGATCAGCAATCCTTATATGCCTCATGCAAACGCTCACCATATAAAGGTTAAAACCTGTTTGAATGAAAATAATAAAATTGGAGTACTTCTTTTGAGGGGAGAAAATAATCGTCGTGGTGTAGCGAGCACTCTTACTGGCTAAAACCAACCCCCAGTAATTGGGAGCCGGAGCTACGGTAACCTTTGCGGCTCTGGTGATTGAGACCTCTTAATATAAGCTTAACCCTCATTTTGTTACGTATGTGGTTCTTTCTTTTAAAGGTGGATGCCTTGGCTCTCATCAACTGCACGTCGAATCAGGCCGGATGGATCGAGTGGGCTTATCAGAAAATGAACTCCCGTTCGCTGAAGAACCGAGGCATGACCCAAGGCGTTCTCGACTACCTCATGTGGCACCATTTCGGACGGGTATGCCCTAAACTTACATATTATGTTATGTTTATAGGATTATGATAGTAAGTTCATTTATTTTACGATCTAATTTCGTTTGAAATTATAATTTGTTGTTTTTTTATTGTTTTGATTTGCTTTTGCATGTTTTATTGTATTTTATCGTAATGCGTATGCGATTTCATTTACTGGTTACCTTAACTCCTTACTTTTCAGCTAAGCGATTATTCCAAAACAATATTAATTCATATTGATTTTAGAAATAATTGGCTTTAAATTGTGTGACACATAGCAGATAATACGATATTTAAACTGCAGTTATTATTGGGTTAATTCGAATACGAACAAAATTGAAACATGTGTCTAAATACACCTCCATGAAGCATTCATTGTCATCTCATAAAAGTCGATCATTAATTATTATTCAGTCTAGCACATAAGTTGGTCGCTATGCGCTAGCGAATTGCGTGGCGAACTTTGTGGTGCGTGCGAACCTGAAGTCGACATTTCATATTTTATACAGAAATGACTGTGACCGTGACCGATTGCTTTATGATGCCGAAGCTACGTACCCTTACCTTACCCCTAATGAATGCAAAACGGATCAATTATCATGTGACAATCCACCTTAATACAAAACTATACTTCCACGCCGCAGACATAAGATACAAAATCACTTGTACAGTACAAACTACAAATATTTAGTTAGGGTACACATCGGTTTCCTTGCGTTCTTGACAAATTATGTGCGGTTCTATGTGCGGCCTCGTTGTATGCGATACAATTTCTTTAAAACTACGTCGTTGTCTATTGATTTATCGATCCGTCTCGCAGTTCATGGCCATAATCTTCATGACAATGGTTATTAGACATGATTACCTGCTGATTATTTTGCCGTGACTGTCGAAATAATATTTACTAAGGGAATGATGTTTCGAATGAATGATATGTCGGTGCAGTTCCCGGAGGAGCGCAACCACGACCTGACGCAGATGTACCGCATGTACTTCACTCGGAACGTGAACCCTACGAACCTGTCGTTGTTGATTGACGCGTACGTGCGGCGCACCGACCTCGGCATCGCGCGGGAGAACGACACCATCAAGGTGCCGGTACTGAACATCACCGGCGCTCTCTCCCCGCATGTCGACGACACCGTCACCTTCAACGGACGCCTCAACCCCAACAATTCTACGTGGATGAAGGTAGGTTCACGTAAAGGAAGCAAAAACCACGTTTCATCGTTTGTTTCTACATTGCTTAATCAACTTTTTATAGTATCGGAATCAGGGCCCTGAGCCCTGAGGTTACTAAATTAATGAGGAAGTTTGGAAAACGTTTATAATGATAATCTCTTCACTTTTATTATATTTATAATAATAGAAGGTAAAATGTTACGCCACAGAATATAATAGATACAGATACAGTACATATTTATGTAGGTAATTGCAAGTATCATATTTTTTAATTTTCAATCACGTTTTATGAGTCCTGGTACCAAATGCCTAAGCAAGGCTAAATATTAAATGCATGTAGTCAAATTGAAAAAATATTGATCTACTGTTGATCAATATTTTTTCAATTTGACTATGTACCAAGTTACTTTACAGTAATTAAAACATAGCTTAACACTTATATAAATCATGGCTTCTCACTATAACACAAATTCGAGACTATATTTCAATGAGTTTCAAGTTTTAAAGTAATCAAAACTTTTACGACTTCGTGCAATATGCACCGATCTGCCTCCTAGCGCCATCTACTAGTTTGCATGAGGAAATAATAGTGCACTCGACTCGGAGCTATATTCACCTTGGTGAGATGATAAATGTGATTCCAAGTTGCTAAGTTACGACCACTTGTTAATAAGTCACATGTACGTAACAAGTAAATATGTGTGTAACATATTGTCAGATGTATCTCCGCCGTTATGCTTAGAAAAAGTCCTAAGTCATTTTCAGAATATACGGATATCTTTGAATATTTAGATAACACACCTGGTACAAGATGTGGTGTCAGAGGCACAAGAGGCGTATTGACGAGAGTCAATCTTGATGATGATGACAAGATGATCCAAGCGCAGCGCCATTGCCATTTTATTGCCTCACTATTAGAACTGTCTTAAAATTTAAAACATAAAAAATAACTCACGAATTTTAAGTTATAAGTCCCTCCCTATCAGAAAAATGCAACCAGAGGATATTTAAAACGTTGGGATTATGATGTCAAAGTAGCTAACAAGTTAATCTGGTTGTCAGCGCGTTGTTACAAACTGTGCCAGTTTTCTGGAAATTATACTGAATATAAATCTGACAGCGACCCTGACCTCGCTAGCTTGGTCTAGCTCAGTAAGCTAAGTCTGACGTAGGTACTTACCGTATCTATTTATTGCTTTATTCAGGCAGTCGTATAATTAGGGCTGGGTTCATTAATGTTAGATTACCAATGACAAAAAGGTCCTATACTTCATACGATTGAACTACACCTAAATAGAAGACTAGCTATTTTGTGAGTACTTGGAAATTCCACCTATTATGTAGACTCCATACTTCATTGCCGACAAACCTCAACCATCTTTCTCCATTTTACAGCTAAACATCCAGATGCACACATCCACTGATATATGTAGGTAACAAAAACATCTTTTTGGGATGTAGAAAAACAATCTACCCATATTGTTTTCTTTCATAGCTTAGTATGAAATTGAATTGTGAAGAAATAGATTGTGTGAGAATTGATATGAAAGAAAGGTGTTTGTGGTATGAGTCTACGTCTGCAAGAGAATATTGTGCCAAATAAATAATTGAACATAAGGGTTAATTTCTCAAATTGGTGATTCCAGATTTCGGATTCGGGCATGGTGCTGGAGGAGCAGCCAGCTAAGATATCCGAGGCCTTCCGCCTATTCTTGCAGGGCGAGGGCTACGGTAAGTGAACCGCGTCTCTCCACAACCACAGTCTACGTAGACATGTACCGATGCAAGCTTAGCTTTGCATTGCAGTTCGAATGTTTAACAATTGCACTCAACACGCCACGCTCAATAGATGCAATATTAATAATTCAATACACCAACCAGTAGCTAAACCAATCCCTTGAAATATTAGAAAAATACCTGCAAATAGAATTGGTATTTGTTAGTACTACTTACCTATCTATTTGTTCACCTGTATAATGCATGTGGATGTAAACAACAACCCAATTCCATTAACATATTGCATCTATTCTGCAGCTTATGTAAATATGTTTGACATGATGAATGTTACTCATTCTAAACGTTAAAATACTGACCAAATAATGTTAAATATTATAATAGTTATTGCATAATTTACTTCTAGTGTGTTACGTTAATTTTATTGGAATACGGTTTCTCGCAATTTCTCTTTATGTTTATTGTGGCCCCTGTTTACTCTAACTGTTTAGCGAACTCCCAATTGTATGATAATTTAAAAATATTACTATCTCTAAATGGATATAATGACACGCTTAACTAATGTTAAATGGTAAGCTAATTTATACTTTGTCCTGAAGCCTGAAAGTTTATTTTTATGTCCTGTTTATGTTTGAGCCTGGATATGCGATAGCGTTATGCAGTCCCTAACAATTGGTATGTACTGAAGGGAGCTTTCTTTCTGTAGAGTTCGTAAGCTTTCAGTCCTGTGGTACTGTCGTGCTATGGTGGTAACGTTAGTAGATAGCCCTTTTGTCAACTTATCAATACCGTAGTTTTTGGGAATCCTTTAGAATAAAATTAATATGGATGTGTCTAGAGTATTTGTGTTGGTACTTCAATACGGCTAGCTGTTGTTTTTGGTGTAGTACGTAAAAATAATAGTCACCCCCAATGCAATCCATTTGTGGCAGGAACATAGTGAACTTTAATTATTTGTCCTGGAAAATAGAATAATACGAAGGCATTATTAAATCCATTAAACATAAATTGTGATGACTTAAAAGTCTAACAAATAAATATTTAAGTTATTTATTCATTTATTTATAGATGAATGCATGCCTCATTAGTTTTGTTTTTAAATATGATATATTTGTATTAGGTAATTAAAGCTTGTCCCTTTATGTATATGAAAGAATAAAGCAAGCGCTCCTAGCTCAAGTGAAAGTACATATTATAAGACTTTCTAAGGACACAATACTGCTAAATATCTCATATTTAACACATATCACATTTTGTAGTTTTATCATTTTATTTTGTATTCTTTGAACTTGTTTACAAAGGTCATTGTAGTTTGCACTAGAATTTATTATGTTACTCGTATCAAAAATGTTAAAATTTTAAATAAGTGCAACGTACAATGATCCCGTAAACAATGGCTGATGTGAAGATTTTTTTTTAATTATTTTGTTTTTTACACTCGTAGCTGTGTTAAGACTGCACGAATTAAATCGACGTCTTAGTACAACCTCCCCATCCAGCGTAAACAACATTTCGGCAGTTCTTTAATACCTCAGCTTTAAGTAGAAAAAGTAAGTGTTTACTCATATTGAATTTATGGTACGCGGAAGATATGTACGTAATAGCATACACTTGTCAACTAGATTACTACCACAACAATTTTCAGATTAAATAATTTTTCTTGGCGCGATATTAAGCGCTCGCTAAAGAGTCTGTGAAGCTGGACGCTCTGAAATACTATTTTAAGTTTAATTATTATTATTCGTTTTTATATCTTCCGCTACTTCAACATTATAAAGATTATCACAAATGTGTGACTCAGTTTTGTATAGTACTTATTTATTTGTTCCAAACTGTACTTTAATGTACATAATTTTTTAATAGATTCTCACGTGTGATGGTCTTTTACTAGGTCGGTCAGATTACACTCAAAGCTCGTGCGTGAATTCCCTTTTTGACCAAGCCACTGTAACGGATTTTAGAGTACTTTTTGTGCAAATGGATTCGATGAGGTATACAGTTTCTACAATCTTCTTTCTTTAGCTTGTTGGGAATTTATGCAAGTGTGAATTTGTCTATTTTGACCGGACTGTTTGTTTATTTTTTACACATTCATTATTTATTGTGGAAATGTTTCACCCAAAGTGGTCAGACGTTCCGTAATAAGTTTATGATTGCTTGTTTTTTATATTTAAAGTTAGTTCCTTACTATTTGTACTTTTCATTAGCTTTTATCCTTTCAATCATAGAATAAGAACAAAGGAGTCTGTGACACCAAATTAAAAGTAAGTTATAATAAAATATTAACTGAAATATGTGAGAGCGACACTTTGCCCAAGATATTATAATCGTATTATTATTATCCTCTACTAAAAATACATCGTGTTTACACGTTTAAGCAATTATGTAGTTTACTATGCTGCATAATTAATTAAAAGCTTTTCATACAAGCAAGGGGCCCTCAATATAAATTGTAAATTAGTTTGAAAAATAAACTAAACAAGTGTTATGTAGTACTCCCTCATGACATTCCATTAACTTGCATTTTGTGTTTCAGTTGCGCCACTGTCGCCCACCAAGATCACGGCGTACCGGCGACTGTCGGACGCCGGCCGCCGTCGTCCTTGCCGCCACTCGCCAGTCATCCGCATCACCGAGAACCCGATCTCGGAGGCGGTGGTCTGCTAAACTAACTCCCTTTCGCTAAAGCTCGCTGATTGATACCCCACGAGTGATTACTTAGTAAAAACTTTGCTGATATGTTATCACGGCACTAGCCATGTAAAATGATCGTCCGTAATACTTGGCAATGCGCTGAAGTACTCGATAGTGTCGTCTAGCATCCTCGTGGGGCCGCGTGCGCGAGCGAGCACGAACATCTAGCTAAGTTCCTCACATCTCGTGAGTCGCACTGTTGAAGTTATATCATTTATCATTTAAGAGGAATTTTATTAGAACCCACTGATATAATATTACATAATTATAATGTACCACTATATAGCGTTATATCATTCAGTTAGGCTAACTTCACACGTATGTATCTATCCATATTTGTTTACGCGACTGTGTAAGGGAGTTAGTTAGCGTGGTTATTTTGTAACTTAGTAATAAATTGAACATGAGGGGCTGCTGTGAAAGCGGCGTCAGGCCGGCGTGTCGTCGCGCGCTACTTACCGTCATGGGACTCGTTGTTGTGCCGGAATAAAGACTAATATTAATGTAACAGCACATTGTCCACATTGATTAACATTACGATAGATAGCTGATCTAATTATGTTGGAGACCATGTCGAGTGGCGCGCGCCGGCTCGGGCTCGGCAGTGGCGCCGCGCGCGCTAACACGTCGCTGGGTGCTATGCTAAGACCAAGATAGATTTCGAAGTTGATCATTTGATGACAGTCGTTTTGGAAACAATGAATCATTACAATTTTTTTGACATTTGTTATACCAAAAATATTGTTTGTTATACTTAAATATACAATTGTGAGATGTTTTATTACGTTTGTTGATTTTTTGCATGTTGATTATATTAATTTACATTATCAGTATTAAATTTTGTATAAGTTTTAATTACTTATTTGTATAATAAGAAAAACCTAAGTATTTATCACCGCTTTTAGTAGTTAACTTAAATAATATTAGAGAACAATGAATGTTAAACGTGCAGCAGCTTGTTAAGAGATTTTCATTTATTATAAGTATTTATTTAATAATAATAATATGTAATTTTACGAGTATATTAGAAAAAGGAATGTGCGTAGGTTAAAATTTAAAAGGAAGGGGCGTGAGTTGATTGTAATAATGTGAAGATTTGGCATGCGCGTATCATACTCTTCGAATTTATCGTGTATGTAGACTTACACGCCGGTGGATATTTTACTAATCATTTAGGCCGGCTACTTGTTAGTGGTTATGTATGGATTGATACTGATCATAGCGGATGATTGTCTGGAAGCTGAGAGTGCTCGGGGCTCAGGAGCGACACCAGTCGGTGGTGTACTGATGTAACGAAGGAAGGCCACATACATACTTAGATTGTTCAGGTCAATGTTTACGATGTTGAAAGGTTTCTCTTAATAATTAGAATCTTGAATCAGTAGCGGAATCTCAGTAGATCTGTTTGTCCCCACCTCCACGGTATGGCGCGGCACTCTAGAGGCACGCACGGCAGGACACGCGCCATACGCTCACACTCGAGGTCGCCTCTAAGCTTTGTAGACGTACAATCGATTAATATTTAGTTTATAGAAGTTCCACATTATACTCTTTCGTTCAAGTGTAGAAGATGTTACATTTAGATATTTTTTGTTCACTGATATTTGTGTGAATTTAATGGGTCTATTAAAAGTGATTTTATAAACTCTGTGTTATTCATTTTGTCAGATGGCAAACCTCATACCAATGGTTAGTTATTAATCCTTATTCAGTCAACGTCAAATTACGCAAGGTTACAACATTTTTCTTGCTGGAATATTAACTTTTTTTCATAAAGATACTGTGTAATGGGTACACGTACAGCACTAACCGCTTGAATGCACCGATATGAGACAATAGAAAATACATTGTTTCGTGCGGATCCACGTTTAGACATACGTCGAGTTAAAGACACTATTGAAACTAGCTATGTATATTTATTTACTACATTCTTACAAACACAGTTATAAACAAAAGTATCTTAATTAACAATTATGTTTTTAAACTATATTCATCAAATATGTCTCTGAAAATTTTGAATATTCACACATTTCATAATACAGAAACCAAAAAGTATCATTAGGTGTAGGTACCTAGTGATACTCAGGTACTCTGGACACTATAGAGAGGATATTAAAGACAATTATTTTGTCAGAATATTAAAATCTCTGTAAAAACAAGGCTTTAATTACTACTAAGAAGTAAAACATTGGATCTACGAATGCCTTTTATATTGGTTCAAAGACGACCGGTTTCATTGACACTGTATCTACAAATTGCTCGAAAGATCGTGAAACCCAAAAACAATGTAGCGTTTGTGGTTAGTTTAAAAAAAATCGAGCAAGAAACTCCATGCTGCATTCTCATAGAATTGTTGCAAATTATCTAAAATGTGCACAGTAGCGCAGGATTTTTTTTTAAGGGGGGAAAGTCATCGATTTACTGCTCCTGCATTACTTTACTGCTGGGTGAGGCGGGAGGGAGTGTCAGACTCTTACTGACTAAAAACCACCCCGTTCGTTCTCCTACACGTCGAGCCGGAGCCCCGGTAACCCGTTAGGTTCTCCGCGACAGTAGTGCAGGATTAACTTTCAAAGAGGAGCAAAGTAGTAAAATTAAAAATTCAATGTAGAAAATTAAATGTAAGTTATCAGTTAGGTCTAATTATTTAACTATAACTAATTGACGTTGACTGTATGTCACTCGTCATCTAAGACTAATAAAACACCATTAAGCCTAATGGTACACACTGCACAGTACCTTCGTAGCGCGAAGGTACTGTGCAGTGTGTTCGTAGATCCAATGTTTTACTTCTTAGTAGTAATTAAAGCTTAAAACACAACTTGTTTTTACAGAGAATTTCTTAAAATAATGACTTGGTTTTATACTATGTAATAACGAATGAGAATTATACTGCAGCATGAGTAGATCGGGTCTACGGGCGACCAAAATCTGACACGAGCGTACGGTGCATCGCGTTTCGCGCGCTTCTCAAAGAGCCATCAGACCACCACAGATGGGGCCCAATAGGGCTGATGCTGATACGGAATCGCGGAGAACTTAACAGGTTATCGGACTCTAAGTGCAGGAGTAGGAAAGGGGGTGGTTCTTAGTCAGTAAGAGTCTGACACCTGACACTCTCCCGTCTCACCCAGGAGTCATTCGATGATTTTCATAATCATAACACCATAACAATACACCTTATATCCCCGAAGGGGTATGCAGAAGTGCACATTATGCCACTGTACAATGTAACACCCACTTTTCACTATTTATGTTATGAGCCCCATGTAATAGAGGTGAGCCTTCATATATCGGGCACAAATCCAGATTCCGTGCTAATACTGAGAATTTTTTAAAAAGCCAGTTATACTTTGCCCGACCCGGGAATCGAACCCGAGACCCCTCGCCCGGTAGTCGCACTTGCGACCTTCATTTTCCTCCCTTAAAATAAAGAGCATATGGGTGGATTCTAGCTAGAATCCACTCATACGCTGCAGTATCAGCCAGTTAGTAGACAGCTGTCTATTTTACTGAAGAATAATGATAAAATGAGAATGAAATAATATACTTGCTTTATTTATTTGAAAGTAAAATATATCAACAAATTATATTCAATATACATGGACAACTTTACATTTATATATTATAGTTTATAGATATAATACATTGAGAATTTTTAAACTAACTATCTACACGTGAATACTTAGTAGTTTAAGCATAATATCTTAAGCGATAACGAAAGACGGTTTTGTTAAATATAATCAATTCATTAACGTTACGATGGCCTAGATACATTGAAAGTATTGCTATTCTTGCCAAATAGATCTACTACAATAATTATAATGTGTAAATTCTCAAATAATATAAAACATGTGCACCTATTGATAAAATTACACAACAACGATAGCCCAACGAGTGGTGTTCGGTGTCGTCAACATTTTAAACTTAACCTCGTGATTTATACTTGTCTTAAATTTCATTACATTATTTGGACCCGAACACTTCAAAAACATCACATGTCTTTTAACTATGAAACCGTTCAGTTTAAACTTTGGAAAATACTCGTGCGGCCTTGATTTTCTTTACAAAATAAAGTGAATTAAGAATAAGAAAGTAATCTCTATAAATATTAAAATAGCACACTAATCCACACTAATCTTAATTCAATTAGGCTGAAGTTGTAATATACACCACATGACATTGTATTCTATTATAGTTTATAGATAGCGTTGTATAAAATGCACAAGACAATTTTGTGAATATACAGATATCAACTAGAATCAGAGTGACTTCAGCATTTAATAATTGTGACTTTCTTTGCCAGTAGCTATCAGTACTAATATTAGATGTAAACAATAGACACGAGTTAATTCAGTAAACACACTAATTTCAATATTGTAATTTGTGTATCACCGACAATTTAATGAGACTATTGAAAACTTTAATAATTGAATCTCTAATTGTACACTTTAGTCTAATAGTAGTTACTGGGATGTCTCTACAAACCGCGAATATTAAGTATTAAAGAAAAGGAACAAAACTAAATTAGACGTTAGTTCGTATGAATAATATTCCTTAATTAGACCCCCTATTACCTTAAGTGATATCGTGACGTTTCTAAACAATACAAATATCAATGATAATTCCTGTCGCATTAGCAAAATGACGCAAGCTTAAATAATAAATACACCACGACGATGTCGTGGTCCCTTATCACATTAAAATTAAGGCTTAAAATGGAAAGCGAGTCATTGTCATCGAGAAACAAAAAACTGGCACAAGAAAATATAATACAATCGCGAAATAAAGACTCCTATCGAACCAGTTTGGCTATATTTCCTTTCTAAAATAGGCTCAACTTGAAGAAAGCTAATTTCGCGAGCTCAAATCGACACAACTCCTACGCTTTCATACCTGGATAATAATAATTATTATAATTACATGCTTCAAAATTACATAAATTCGCTATAAACATGAATACAATTATATAATTTCTACATAGATTGCTGATTATTGCGTGTTGGCAAATAGAAGATACAATGTTATAAATATGACACCACTTCTTTGCTAAGTTCTACTACAAACCTATCCCGAATCCCCTTACATTTGATACACGAGATTTTTATATACAATTGGTATAGTAGGTGATGTTGAGATGCTAAATTTATGCTTTCACCATTCAAGGGGTTCGTAACAATTTGCCGGGAATGTGTAGTACAGCGAGTTAAATATATAATGTATTCTCACAATAAAACATAGCATTTACATATTTTGTTAACAGTTCATCTTTCGTCACAGAATAAAGTGCGGGCTTTATTCAAAAACAAAGAAGCATCGATAAGTTTCATAACTGTACGATGGCTCTTCGACGGGAGCTAAAGATCACTTGTGGAATATAATGATGAGTATGATCGACACTACGATGATCAGCGCTAGGAACAGGTACACTTTCTTCTTGCGCAGCTTGTTCTGAAATCACGACAAAATGTTTATTATTAATTTTGGTACCTGATGGTATGTAATGGTATAAACATATTACATCTACTTGACTGAAAGAAATTAAAGATAGGGTATACAAGATAGAGTGTGAAACATGACATTTTAATAGATAAGGTGACAAAAGTAGTTCATCAAATTGTATCCATCAATTCGTACTTTTTGTGAACAGAAATTAAGTGATACGACTATACACGTACAGATTAATTTTTAATTAACATAAACATGTATCAAATTTATTACCTTATAGTTAGCAGCCTCCCGGAGTTCCTGCGTGCCACTCTCCACGTTCACCGTTGCATACTCCACACTGGACTCAATCGAGTTGACTACTTCTCCCTGCGTATGAATCATTGTTCCAAGCTCCTTGAAGATTTGGTTCACGTCCATTATGTCGCTCTGAAAGTAAAAGTATATATAATGAAATACAATAAAATAGTCATTCGTAGAAACATGTCATCTGTGCTTAAAAGCCATGACATATGTAATATATATGACCTGTTTCCCAGGGATTTAATCATGAGGATATGCCGCTATCCCATACCACAATTTCTGCTACAGCCTGCAGTATTGTGAAAAAGAGTACACCAAGCAGGATGCAAGTAAGTTCCACGGGTTCCATGACTATTAAAAAAGTTTTAAATTTTTTTTTTTTTTTTTTCAAGGTAAGAGCATGTATAAATCTAGTTACAATCAATTTATTCAGGTCAATTAAGAGTTATATAAAATCACTATTTCATGCCAAATTACATTAATAGATGTATGACATTGGAATGAAATATAGGCAAAATATTATGAATATTTGGTTGGCCAACTTTGATATGACATAGATATAACAATGTACTACACTGTCTTCCTCTTTGTCTTTAAAATATATTTATGATATCAACAGATAGTACCGACTTTTCTGATATCTAATAGCTGTTCTGTTCCTAATTTTATTGCTTGATAAGAAAATAGCATGTAATCGGCACCTACATAAAACTAAAACAAATCATATAACAGGTACGAAAACAAAATGAAAGCAAGGCAAATAAAATATTCATTTTCCTTTACAGAGATTTTATCTGAAACAGTTGTTAATTAACACGACCATATTACGTTTGAGGATAAAAATGTACGGTACAGATATTCCGTATTGTAACTATACACCATTCGTTGAAACGTTAGCTTTATCAATTCAATATATATATTGCACGATCGCGTTGCTAATTCATTCTTTGATAAACAACCATTTCATTTTGTTTTTATTATAACAATAAAGAATCTGAGAGGCATACTATGTAATGTGTTAAGTCAATCAATGACTGCAGGTAATGAATGAAATCATCCATACCTATTGTCAATTGATGTACAGACGCAAGCAATCCTCTAACTATGGTTTCGTTCGGTTTTTGATTTTATCACAAAACGATACAATTTGATAATCTTTTAAAGAAGGACAGTTTGTGTTTGACCAATTGGTGTTACTGATTCAGATAAACGTTGTCTTCTCAGACATAACAGCTGTTTGAATCCTGTAATATAGATCTCACCTCAAGCTGTCGAATATCTCTTTCGCGCTCCTCCAGCTCGACCAGCGAGCGTTCAGTTTGCATGACCTGCTCCTGTTCGCGCAATGTCGGCTCACCCATCTCCATCAATTCCTTATTGCTGCTGTCACCTGTAGAAAGAAAGAAAGAAATACCATTTATTACGCCACGACACACAACAAGAATACAGTTACACACAAAAAGCCCATGGTGCGTCGCAGCGCCAAAGGCTGGAGCTCAACTTAATACTGTGGACCGGGCACGAAGGCTCGAGTCCACGGCGTTGATTTTCAGCACCAGCCTGTAGTAGTACGTACTAATTGTACACCTACGGTAACAACAGCTTTAGACTTCACTTTTAGACAACTGTCAAACTGTACTGTTATAATAATTAAAAAAAAACTAAAACAATGAGAATGTATTATCTAATTTCTACCATTATGTCTATGAATTACCTGAAATAGCGAACGGATCTCCAATATTGATGCTCGCAGACTGCGCCTTCACCTTTCTTACGTCTTCTTTGGTCTTCTGAGCTGCCAGCCTTTGTGTAGACTGAGGAATACAATTACAAAATTAATTATTATATTGTCAATCTACCTAAAACCAAAATTTTAAAGTACCCACCTATCAATTTTGTGCCTAATAAAAAATTATGCTTTAAAGCTTGCTTCTCTCTCATAGCTTGATTCTCTGCATGGCTTTTATACAAAATTAACTAATGAAATAAATTAGTCATTTATAACAGACAATTATAAGATTTCAATATACAGTAAAATATTAAATGGACTACAACTTTATAAAACAAAAAATAATTACGAAACACATATGTGCATCTCTACTTCTCATTGCTGGTGACGTAGCTTGGTATTCAACCAGCCCAAATATACCAAATAGCATTATAAATAATTTTCGAAGAATATTTAAAATATCAATGCTATTCATAAATATAAACAATAAAGTTCATATTATTACGGTGTGCCTAAAACGATTTGTATGTAAAATAATTTAATTTTATTTGTGTTATTTCAATTTAACAAGGTCAATATCTTAGTACCAGTCGGAAAATACTTCGACACTCCGCGTCATTAGTGCCGACCCTGAACGTTTCAGTAAGTTTCCTACTTGCAGCTAATAAATTAAAAACTATAGATCTTCCTACACGTTACTTATTTCCTCATTTCCCATAGGATAGGCATAGAATTCAAATATATATAAATGTAACAAAAAAAAACAACATTCAATGTTTTATCAAATGTTGTTATCAGCAAACAATTAAAATTGATTCGTTACAAATATTTTAATCGTCCACACATTTCCAACAATAGTTCGGAATTTTAATTATGTAACATTTTTATATACAGGTTTTATAATCACGCTAATGAAGCTATTAATAAATCCTGAATAGTCATTTGGGCAAAACAAATGTCATGTTCTATTAAAATGCCAATTTATGAATATATTCTGCACCTGCACTAGGACTTTATAATATCAATGTGTAATGAACAAAAAACCTAATAATTTACTATATAGTAACTAGTACCCACAGTTCATAGAAAAGGTGAGTCTGAGTCAGACAAGGTAAATTGTTGTTAATACTTCATTAGTATAAAAAAACATTAAATAGACTATATTATTATCATTGAAATTTCATAGCTACAGTATATTATTTAAACATGTTTTTGGATTTGCTCGCACCAAAACTTCACAAAACATAATATAATTATGTATGTTAGTCACCTTTCTTGGACACATCTACTAAAATTCATAATACACGTTTTATTTATGTGTAGCAGTTAATCAATTTGCACCATAGTTATGAATGATGTTCTTTCTATTTTAGTTGGTATACCTACAACCACCTAATTTGTTTTGTAGCTGCGGTAGTACTAAATGAAAAAGGTAAACAATTACCTAAAATTATTTAGTCAGAAATGGTCAGAAGTATTATTAATATTTTATGCCTCATACTCTTCATTAATGCATCAGTCCAGGGGAGGTAAAACATTATTAGCTCGCGTGCCATTGGTTGCGTTATTTTAGTCGGCAATAAACTTATATTTTTGCGTTGCCATGTACTTAAGCTATGGTGAAACAGACATAAGCTTACTTGTTAAGTACTGATAGTAGGTATAAAGTATAAAGTGAAAATTATTTAATGGCAATGGCAATAAACTAATAAACATTTGTTTTAATTACACATTTATGCATAAAGGTTCGCCATCTATGCACAGTCCTAATAAATTAGATGTCATATGAACTTGACCTAACCTTGGCTACCACTCAATACTGATTCATCCTCGTCTTACAGTACTATAATAGGAACATAATAGTATTTTCAATTTAAATCCTCCTTCCCAGTAGATTTTTACATAATTCATATATCCGGTACTTTGTTAAATTCAATGGTATAATTGTTGCATACTATCTTATGAGTATCTAAACATTTGCATCAGGAGATGCTAATTAAGTATTAACATCATTTAACCTTTAAGCTGTGCACTAATAAAAAATCGCATAATATACATTCAAGAGCAAAGCATTGTGTTTAACATAATAAAGATTTACAATGCATCTGACTTAGGTCATGATGTATAACACAAAGAAGATTCTACCTTTTGTGAACTGCAGTAACAAAGACACTACAATGTATGAAAAGAAAATTAAATATGGCGCACAATTGCATTGTGACCTAATAATCTATTATATTATCTAAGCATTTTCTTTATAATACACAAAGATTAGCAAACTGACAAAGATCAGATCATCAACATATTATGTGTTTGTTTTTTTCTGAGGATTTTTGCAATATAGAGAAACAGAGTTGTATGTTGTATGTATATACATACCTGGAATGAATTCAGTGTGATCATGTATTCATCTCTGAGGCGTTCTCTGGTCATCTTGTGAGCCGGCTGATCAGTTGGCAACTTCATCAATTCCATGATCAGTGATGATGTATCCCTTGCTAGTTTCTGATTATAATTTTGTATTTGACGCCTGTGAAATTGTTTATTGTTTAATTTATATGAACATGAGAGCTCTCTATGTTGTATGTCACAGGATTGTTATTATATAGGTAGATCATAATGATTGGACTAATTTGAGAACCGTGATGCTAATAGACAATAGAAGTGATAACACAACCTGATTAGTTAATTATTCGACTTATTTACTGTAGTAAACGAGTAATTCTTATTGCATGAGGAACTTACAGTTGGTTCCGATGCTCTTGGGAATCCTGCGGTGTCTGCAGCTGGTTGACCATCTTTGACATTGATGATACTGTGAGAAAATAGAAAGTTGATTGTAAACAGTCACAATGAAATATGTAAATAAGCAAATATTAATAAAAATGCCTATTACTACTATTTGCTTGATTCTGAGAAAATATCCATTTCAAACTATGATAAGTACATAAATTCTAGCTATCTTTAGTAATATTATCAAAGGAAAAGTCTTGTTTTAAATTTATTATTTTTATAATATCCAGAGACGAGGCAATGTTGAAATGTGGAAGCAAAACCATATGCGGAAGGTTAGTTTGCCATCATCCAGAATTTAATATAGTATATTTCATCATTTAAAAAGTTATCTGTTATTGCATTTTGTATCTAAGTATAAAGTGTGCCCCTCATAAGTTTTTATCTGACATAAAGTACCTAAGCGGGTATGTAATACTATTGATACACTCCTGCCTATCCTTGGAAGAAATACATCATCATTGCAAAGAAAACATTTATAATAACTACCACTATTTGTATATGAATAATTCACAAAACAAAGATAAGATAGCAATGTGAACAAACTTGATACATCACATTCTTGACAAATAAATGAATCATCTTTATTTACTAGAACATATACAATCTAACAACTTTCTTTATTTTATCACTTCAGCTTTTGTTTTAGAGTATTCTACAATTCTTATGTCTTACATCAGACATACACAAACAATAATGTTCTGTGACAAGAATAGATTGTGCATCAAACATCATTTTAACAAATTACAGCTATTCGTGTCTAGCGTGTCTGCAATTGGAAACATCTATGACCTACCATTAGAGCTAAGTATACAAAAGTAACTCCTTCAAAATTACAGAAACATTACGGAATACGTGACTAATAATAAACAAATGAAAGGAAAGAAACTAAAGATAATAATAGAGATAAAATTGATAAATTAAAACAATAGAAGTACAAACCATTCTGTGAAATCTTTTTGATATTGCTTGCTATAGTTTGGGACAGGCGCTGGAAATTATTGTCCCTATCTTCGAACGACACACCTCCCTGATACGAGGACTCCATCCTGATTTTAGTACCTATAACAATGACACCAAAAACCACAATAAAAAATTTGCATTTGCTATAACACCGCAGCGCAGAAATGATATTTTCTATGGAAACGTAAACACTAATCGAGTTACACTTGTATGAAAGTATTTAATTGTGACGTTGGTTTTATTTTACGGTACAAACATCAATTTTATATGTTCGAACTACAAGCTAAGAGTAAAATCGAATCGAATTACAAAGTAAATTAAAACACAATTGCTTGCTTGATTTCTAAAAAGGCAAGAAATACAGAAAAAATACACGTACAGTAACGGCGTAGCAGTCAAGTCAGCCAAACAAATCTACATAAAACTTTTTATGAAATCAATGCACTTTTCTACGTACACCCTTGCTTGACGTACACTGATGTTAATGTCATGTCATGATCTGTCACTTGAATGACTCAAAGGTGTATACAGTGTGCACAGGTGGAAAAAGTTTAAATCGACTACACTTGTTCAACTTATTTACTATGTAAATAACAATCATTTTATCCATTTTATTAATTACAGGTTAATTTACATGACAATACTATTTTTGAACATTTACTAAAAATTTTCTGTTTACAATTATTTACTAAAGCTTTCTATACACCATACCACTAGAAAGGATAAGTCAAGACAACAAGACTATTTTATGAATTAATTAATAATTAAAGTAAGCAGTGTATTATTTGATTTTATACCTCTTTCATGTTATTTGGTTTTTATGTGGTTTATCATTAAAAATCCGTGATGTAGAATGATAAGTAGAATCAAAAAAATACTTTTAAAGAAAAAAGTGTCTATCCCTCCCTCTACCAATCCTTACGAGGTAATTATATTTTATGGATTGGCATTATGTTCTTACTTCTAGCTTATAATCATACTAAATATTAAATTATAAAATATACTTGAGAATATAAATAGTAATAATAACATTAAAAGTACCATTCAATATTATATTTAGTTTTCACATTCTATTCATAGACAATTATAACCCTGCAAAACATTAGACTAACAATTTAAATCGGGGTGTCCTTAACAAAAAAGACATTGTTTATTGATAGCATAATATCTTGTCTATGACCACTGAACACTGATATCCTACGTTGTTCATAGAAATACGTTTACGTACTTGTATACGTATATGTGTAGTAATATTAATGTGTATTTGTCTTCGTGTCCCTATGCTCTGTTTTTTTTTATTTAGAAATTTTAAATGTTATAAACTTGTAAAAAAGTCCTGGATCCTGCATGATTTGATCGATTGATAAGCAATTATCTTACGTATAATTCTTGTGACAATGAGCTTAGCAATCATAATCACTTATTTGTGTATGGCTTGATCTTCTGTCACGGGTGTTAAAAAGTGTATCAAGTACATAGAAAGAACGAAAAGCGAAAATGTCCGAGATCACGGTCGGCCGTTGTGATGTTTGAGATCAGTAACATTAGTGTAACAGATGAGGAAGATGGGTTGTTGATGATCAGCCAGGTGAGCGAAGTTCAGATCGCGTAGCTACACCAAAGCGCCTAGACGTCCAAGACGTTCGAAGGATATCCGCTGTCGGTCACCTTATTTTCGGAAAGCCTTTTTCGTTATTCATCATGAGTTGGCTGCACCGTGAACTGGAAACCATGGATCCCTCGATCTTTTTACAATATTCACCTTCCCCTCCAAATGGACTACCACAAGAATCGAAGTTGGCAACCTACATGGTAAGTTTATATTTCAACTTTTGTGGTATTTTTTTGATCTTCTTCAGTTATCAGTTGATACATTTTTTGATATTCCAGAATCGTTCCACTTCTACTCCCACAAGATCCCTCAACCAGGCTCTTGGCAAACTCAGCTTGGAGTCTTCACCTACTGCAATTAAGAAGGTAATTCAAGATGACTCATTGATGTCACTTAACTTTTCGGTGTGCTACTTTCACATAACTTAAAAAAATATTTTGTTTTTTTTTGTTTAGGTGGTGATAACAGAATTTGTTCCAATGAACTATTTTCCTCCACCTAGCCTACTGCAGCCAGACTCTCCAGAAAGTTCTTCCCCTTCTACTATGTCAGCAGTTCCCAATACTTCTCAAGTACATCAGGTATGTCAGTGGTTGCTGTTACTATTAGTTAGAAAATAAACAAAAGAAGATCAACAATTATTAATGAGAAAGTATTTCAATGTTGCTGAATAAAATTGTGTAATAAAAATTGTTGTGAAAAAAATAAAATAATTAAACTGTACATTGACATTTATGAATAATGAATAATCATAGAAGAGATGCAATCACTTTTATAAATGGTATTTATTTAATTTTATGTTAATTTTATTGAGACATGGAATAAGCGGGACATGATAATTCATCAGTGGTGTTTGTGTTGGTACAGAATCAACATTACTGTACTAAAGTTCAATATACTTGTTTGAAATGCAGCTTTAATAAAATAACCTGTTATCCATGACCAACTTTCAAAACTTGATCTGATTCTCAACATAAATAAGTAACTACATTGTCATGGGGTAGTGAATAATGACTTATATAATAAACTAACACCTATAGAATTCTATAAGTGTTTAATTAAACAATATGAAAAAGTTCATATTATAATTTATCAGTATAATAATATCTAATTCTTTTTGTTCTGATAATAAGCAGTTTGCGAGGTAATAAAGTTGATAAGATAGAGCTTAAAATAGACTGTAAGGCTTTTTGTTTTTGTTACAGGAAAATGTTGGTGGTACTACATACTTCTATTCCACCAACTCTGATAGCCTGAATACTTCAGGAGCCTTGAATTCCTCCACATCCATTGGTAAGTTTGAAAAAAGTTTAGTATCTCTTAGTAAACTAGGCGGTGAATTTTCTCAATTGATTGGTCACTGCAATATGCATTACCTGTGGTCAGTTATCAGTAATTTTTCATGGTAAACTTGTTATCATCTGTGTTTAGATATGGTTGCAATTTCTACTTTTGTTTACTCAAGGTGAAAGAACTCTGTTCTAATCAATATTGAAAAAAAATGTTGGTGAATATAATATTTATGGTTACAACATTCACCGTATATTTTGAATGGAATATCCTACGCTACTGAGTGTAGGCTTTTGTACTCACACTTCCACATAAGTAGAAGTGTAATTATCCTTGAGGATAACATGTATTTTCGAGCTATTGTACCATTTGTGATATAGTGAACATTCAGCTGGTCACTGAATTCAAATATTTGGTTTGACTTTTTCGTTGTTGATTTTATTTCGTCATCCCTTATTATATATAATTTTCTTACACGAATTAAAGCAGTAAACTATTACTGCTTCCGATTTCAAGTGAATAGGAAACCATATGTCATGAATCATCTGTTGATAAGAGTATATAAGTTAAAGTGAACGCCCTGAGTAATCGAACGATACGGCGATTGGGCAAGCAATTGTCTACTTATCATATTATTTTTATCAGCTTGAATCATGTTTAGCTTTTGTTGCGTTGAGGTAGAGACGCGATGGATAACAGTTGTGGTAGTTACGATATAATACATTATTATCCTTTGGCAAGAGTACTGAAATATTAAAAATGATTTTTATTGGCCGATAACATCGACGAAAACTCAAGTAATCGTGTCGTAATGAACTGAACGCTTCAAATATAAGAAATCGAAGTAGGTCCGAGATATGAAAGCGCACGTATCGATATCTAAACTTACGACAGCGAGAGATGTAAGCAATAGTTACTTAGTGATAGCAATTATAGCATAAAGTGTTGTAGTTTCTTATCGATTCTCATAATAATTGCCGGTTTTTCTTTAATATTTGCGCAACTGCGTGATGAGCAAACCTCTACTTAGGTATGGTTCCGATATGCATGAGCCGTAACTCGACTAGCAATTGAACAACAATGTTTGAAGTTCGACATTGACCTAACGGTATCTACCGATGGAGTTTCCCTTAAAATGAGATAACAATATCGGCAATTACGCCTTTTCTTGTAATCTGTATCCCCAATAAATAGTTAGGTACCGACTAGTTACTTCATCATCCCTACTTATTGTTGTGTTTCGTTAGTCATTAACTTGTAACAAAAAGTTTATGCCTTACAAATAAAACCATTGTTGTCGGTTGTCAAACAACAAAGTACGACAAACATAGTCGTATTTATATGAACAATTCTAGGAATAGTAATACACGGCATATAAGTAGGCTTTAAAATCAAATTATTAACTACACACTAGACTAGCGAAAGAAGAACAAAGACAGTGTTAGAAATTCCCTCATATTATAATTTACTGACTTTCTGGGTAAGTCAAATATAGATTTGTATGCCTATGTTTATTTATGTCTACCTCGCCTACACTCTTGGTGACGTCAAACGATTTAGGTGACCTTTTCTTAACATATAATTTCCTCAAACACGCAGAACTTAGTGCACTATGGGGCTCGGTAGAGAGAAAGAAATATATGTCAAATATAGGTGCCTAATACGTGTTCTTGGTATTAATGCTTATTATTTGCTAGATTTGTATGCTCGTTTGATTTAAGCTATGAAACCTACTCGTTGCTTCAGGCCCTTCGGAGTCATGCTTGAGTGGTGCCGTGGGCGGCGCGGCCTCGCCGTATGCCACCCAGATCTACTCTGGAACGCCAACCCATATGGGTCCAATGACTTCGAAACAAGGTAATAACTGTTTTATTTACTATGTAAAACGAGATAACTTTACTTTTTCAATCAAAATAACATTCCATACAGTAAATACCTGGCAAAATCGGCCCTGAGCCTTTACGCTCTCACGCAGAGATAAACCATTAAAAACTCATTTAGTGCTAAAGATATTTTAAGTCATAGATATGCATCTTTTCTTAGAAAAATATGATACTAGTATAATAGCTCACGCATTTTTATTAAGTAGCACAATTTCACCAGTATCAGCAACTAAATTCGACAGGATGGTTAGTTACTTTATGCTATGCTTAGTATGTAGTATGATAATATTAAACGAAAAAATAAAACTTCCATTGCGAATTCTGAACTATGTATGTGTACTTTATGTATGCAAATGTGCTCTCCCTTCCATAAATAATAATAGGTTGCCATTGCCGAGCTATCGATATTGACCTTAACATCATTCGTCTCATCACCCAATAAATCATCGTAATAGTACGACGTCGCTCTCTACAATGGCTTCTCAATTTATTAATTGACTCAATTCGTACAAATAACACAGCGGGAAGTCAAGAACATATCAATATGAGAGAAAACAAGCAATTTCTGATCCAAATATATCAACAAATATCCATCAGATACTTTTCTCTCATTAATCACATTTCTTTGTGCCGTGCGTGGGTGGTATTGATTGCAAAGTAAATAATCCATTATGTTCGCCTGTCTGGCGCAATTACTCTAGCCAGTCTCCGATGTGACTATGTTTCTATTTTGTGTAACAATTTTCTCAAGAGTTCTGTATATAATTTTGAGTTAAATCATAGTATTTTTTTTGTAATTGCCCATGGTGATGGTCACCATCACTGCGTCTTTCTTAGTACGTAAGTGTCCGGTACATATTGCTATCTGAAAGAACTCTCTAGCTGCCAATGACAGTTAATAAATATACCGCCTCGTTGGCTACAATGATTGCTTTAGATTAACAAATCAAACGCTTTTGATTGTATAACAAGAGATGCGTTTAGGATTGATAGCGCAGTCGAGCTTGTTACTCACACTGGAGGATATTGGTAAATTGCTCGTGATAGCCGGTCGGCATTATGTCTGCTGCGAATCAAATGCAAATTGTAGCGTGATCTTGGGAGCCGGCGACATGTATTCATTATCGTATCACTATCTGAAGGAGACTCTTCCGCCGCGCCTCGTGTTGTAAACTAGCCGTGAGAACAGCCTAGAACTGCAGTTAGATAACTGCCTGTTAGTAGGGTTAGTGCAGATTGTTAGATTCAATCTACGAGTCACGTTGCATGCACCAGCAGGAAATTGTCATCAGTCATGATTGCAGGAACATATTCACTACCTATTGACCAACCCTGTCTGACATGTAGGTCAAGTACTTGAGACTATTATCGTAAGAAACTGCAATAGCTAAAGAAAACTAATGGTCACCAATCCTAGTTCAAAGAAAATCGTGTCACGTCCTCCGATTTACAAATGTTGTAATTCCAATGTCGCGATTTGCTATTCTAGCGGTCATGATTGAAAATCACATATGTAACAAGGAACATTATCATATGCCAGTCTAGGCTTACGTCATGTTGAATTGTGATAGGCCATGGTTTATATTGCTTATTGCGAACTTTACGAGATCGATACCGATGTTTATCCATTGTTTTGTTTTTAAATTTTACTACCAGACGAAGATTGCAGGGGTGTATAGCAATTTCGAAACTCGTAAAAATATAATGTTTATTTGCTTGAATGGCCATTATGAGATCATAATAGGTGATTACTGATAAGCATCTCTTTATCTTAAACGACCTATAATCTTAAAACTTTCGTTTTAAGCCCGTCGTCGCACACAAATTATCAGGTTGTGCAGCGTGTGTAAGGGCCGCTACAGATTGTCTGAATCTATCAAAAGTATATAACATACCTGCTGTTACGTATTACGTGTTTGTTTATCGTTATAGGTGAGCTGAGCGTTGCTAATTCAAAATAAACAATTGGTATTTTACGATCCTAGCTTAAAAAAAAAAACAAAAGAGCATTACCTATATTGCTTGCCTTCCAGACCAAACACGTCTGTAACCAATGAGGTTAATTAAGATTTCAACAAAGTAGTAGTCACGTAAAATCAATACGAATTTCTATAGGTCACATTCCAAGTGTAAACCCTGTCCTGAAATTAATTTCAATGAGAATTTTACAACCCAACACAAGTTGTACAGTCTCTTCTTTGTGCCTTTGGGCTTAATTCATTCTGTCTCCTGCAGTAATTCACCGAGGGAAGTAAAAACCATAGTTTTTTCTTCTTCTCCTCTTATAATATCTTCTGATTCACTTCGTTGTGGGAACCAAGACAGTTACTCATGTCCCTGAGACGCGCCGGACTTCAGTGTTCTGGTGTTTTCATGGTTGTATCTACTGTAGATCCTGGCTTACAGGAGTTGCAGCGGTTATGGGAGGTTGTGGCGGGCTTGTCCCTTAAAAAAAAACCCAACACAAGAATATAATTTGGTATCAACCCTAAAATGGAATGAATACGCTAGAAACATAGTCATACTGATTTTCCTGTGCTGTGCTGTGTACCGTAAGCATTGATCAATAGAGTAATGCTTAACAATTAGACGATGATTACGTATACTTATCAAATTGCACCTGTCGAGTGTTTACGTTGCAAAGCGATTACACAATACACATGCAATTACAATTGTGCTGAGCTGCCTAGTTATAAATACTACGAACTATGTTTTGTAACTTGAGGAATTTAAATGAACAGCTGATATGAAATATCACAATGTTATATATACAACATTCAAAATTAAGAGAGGGAGAACACCCCATTATCTAAGGAGGCCTGTAGTCCAACAGTGGTGTGCCACGGGACGTTAATTATAATAAGAATACATATAATAACATCAGTAATAGTATACATGTAATAAAATCGTAGGGAAGTGCTTGCTTTATAGATTTTTTGTCTGTTTGTCTGTGTGAATATCCGGGCTAAACTCAAAAAGTACTACATGGATTTACTTCAAATTTTGCATGAATATTAGTTACAGGTCGGGTCAATATATAGGCTATACATATTATCACGCTATCACCTACGGGGGTTGAGCTGTGAATCACTAATCCACGCGAACGAAGTCGCGGGTAACAGCGGCAGTAATTAATATAAGTCATGCCTACACAATTAAAAAGCCAACAATATATGGCATATTTGCACTTTTCATTATTCCCTATTTGAAATGAATTGAGTATAAATAAAATATAACCTCATTACCGAGATAAATTCACGTTGAATATTGGAACCAATTAAAATAATTAAGAGCGTATGGAGAAGGATATTTAAAAAATAAAATTGAGATTGCTATTGGCTTTGCGTAGACTCATTGTGTCCGTAACGGTTAGTTATAAACTATTGTTTATATACCAAATGATGCATCATTTGGTATATAAAATGCATTTTACTTACTTATTTTATGCGAAATTCAAATGCGATTGTATATTACTAGAGCTCTTATTATTTCATAAATATATGCCTACATTTAATATCTTAGGTTAATTTATTACAATTTTTTAAATATGTAATAGCTAGGAATGTTTGGCGAATTTTGCGTACAAATGCTATGTGTTGTGTTATTATTGGACATATATATTTTAGTAAACAGCATATCCGAAGCTATTATTTAACACCCTCACTCAGAAAAAAAAAATTAACAACATGTAAAATAACAGTTTGTATATAATGGTTTATTCTATTTTGCGAAGGTCTGGCCGCGTCTTTCTACATGCCCGAGACGATCCGCTCTGAGATTTACGAAAGAAACGACGATGTCTTCTTGCAACCAGATCTTCGCCAGTATCCAGGTAAGCAATCCTATTAAGCTACGTACCACAGCAAGACTAGCTGAGCCCATAGGCGTCGCCTGATGGCCTATATTGTGAAGTTAAAAATGACTACGTGAAGCAAAAATGAGTTATGCAGTATGCAATATACTAATGTTAATGAGATACATAAATCATTTCATGCCTGCTCGGCGATAAGGGTGCTTTTGGTAAACCAAAAGCAACCAAAAGGGCTAAAGCCCTTCAAAGTGTTGTCGGTACACCATGCGTCATGCATTCTGGCTAGATACACCTATGTATTAACCATCACGTCACTCATTGACGCTTTTTTTGCCGAGGATTTATCTTCAACGGTTTACTGCCGACAGTCAAAGACTTTAGAATAGAATCCCGCTTTAAAACGTATTCTTACAATATGACTAAGCCGTATTAGCATTTCTTTTACAATTCTTGTCACTACATCAATCTTCTTTCAATCCATAAAGATTAAATTACTGGATGGGTTGGCGCGGTAACTGGGCGACCGGCTGGCGCGCAACGTGTAGCGGGTTCGATTCCCGCACGGAGCAATTCTTTGTGTGATCCACAAATTGTTATTTCGGGTCTGGGTGTCATGTGTATGTGATATTGTATGTTTGTAAACGCACCCACGACATAAGAAAATCTTAGTGTAAAACGTTTAAAAAAAATTACTCCTCGCGACCCGACCAAACTCCTCAAAGAAGCGTTATTTTGGCTGTATCTTACTCCACGTATACTTTCTTCTTTACTGCCACACGCTTTGAAGCCAAAATACCCTGCAATGTAGCAAACTAGACTTGTAATAATGTCCCAATTGCTATAATGAAGTGAAAGGCACTTCTAACAGTTTTTCTCACTTTCACGTAGGAGACTCAGTTAATCACTGAAGCAGATAATGTCTATCTACTAGGTATGGTCACCACAGCTTAGAAAATAATGTTCGAGAGTATTCAAACGATATTATGCTTTAGTTTTACTCAACTTAGGGGTCAAAGTAATTTGCACCTGCCAAGTGTTGCAAACGATCATAGGCCACGGTAACCACTTACCATCGGAAGGGCCGAGTGCTTTTCTTGGCACCGTCGTGGTATAAAAAAATGTCGTAAACTAATAGAGTCTAGTTCAGTTTGTAGCTAAATCCTCGTCAATTCCTGCTGAAAACAAATAGAATACAAAGGAAACTTTTGAAACCCTGAATGACAAAAGTCATTTGGGATTTTAGTTTGTAAAGACTTTGAAGTTATAAAAAGCATTCAATTCACTCCAGCGCTTTAGGATTTGTTCAGTTCACTTACAAACAAAAGGACACGAATGATGCACCCACTTTAGGCCAGATACAAGTCCCTTGTAATAAATAGAATGCGAGGCTCTAGACTCTATTATCTTCTCTGCCATTTTAAGTATTGGAGGTTGTAAAAATCAAAATCCCTAATAATACTTTGTTCTTGCACTCGCCCAGCTCAGCAGCATAAAAGAACTGTGTAAACAATATTTACAATATTTTTTTTATCAACAGATTTACCAGAAAACGTGGAAATGTATTCCGAACTGACGCCCTTAGAGAGTATCGCACCGCACTGTATTGCGACGTCATACCGCGCCACACACCGGCAGAGCGGGGAACATTATGCTCTCAGGCGCCTACATTCATACTCCACGTCTATCACAAAACGCCTGGAGATGTGGAAGCAGATTGACCATCCCAACGTCGTGAAACTACACGACTGGTTCACTACTAAAGCTTTCGGGGACCACTGTGAGTATGGACGCACCTACTTTATTATTATACGCACTTAAAACACACACTGCACATCACTAATAACATCCTGTTATAAAATCAGTCCTTTAATTTCTTACCCTAAAACAATACATAGTGATCCCGTGATGCTGCGATCAGTTACTATTGGTAAAATAATTAGGAAACAGACAGTTTCAAACTATAGGTCTATAAAACATAACATAACATCACTCCTTTTATCCCCGAAGGGGTAGGCAAAGGTGCACATTACGGCACTTAATGCCTCTGTACGATGTTACACCCACTTTTCACTATTTATGTTATGACTCCCATGTAATGGGGAAACCTATTGCCATATACCGTTTACAATTCCAGACTCTATAGGACTACAAATTTTCTTAAAAAGTAAAAAATAAGTAATAATAACTTCCACATATGGCTATAATACATGGACAACAATATATTTGGAAAAAACAAAAAACACAAGATACAAACAACGCCAAGGTTTAATTAATACGCCATGAATCCTTATCGAGTCCTTGTTTCCGACCCTTGTCAATTTTGATTCGATGATTAATTCATCACTGTTTCTTTTTGTAAAATTAACATTTAGCAGCCGTTAAGTCTCTTTGCAACTCTTTACAAGTTTAAATTGTTATAATAGTAAAATATTTATCGACTCCAAATGCACAATTTCTATCATACATAACAAAAGCGCACGCCGCTCTGCGTCACGAACCTATAATTCATAATCAAGCTACTACTAAGTTTATCGTTTAGCCTTGTTTTTTATATACACAATTATACAATTAAAACCCATTGTTTTGCTGCTATGTATTATAAGCGTTGCCGTTAAAATTCCATAGACAATGGGGTTTGCATTACATCCTTAGTAACAGAGTACTAACCAAAAGAACGTATTTTTTGTAATGAGTATTTTTACAAATACCGTATCACTTTATCCAATATCTATTTGTTATTATTCATATTGATGAGTCAGCATTTCTTACTTTATTTTTACACCTGTACTAGCTGCTTCCAGCGGCTTCGCCTCCGAACCCGTGGCATAAGTAGCCTATGTGTTGTGTTATGTCAGACCATAATCGCCCTGTTTCTAATTTCGCCCCAATCCCTCAGCCGTTTTGACATGTTTGAGTAAACATACATACAAACTTTTCTCATTTATAATATGAAATAAAATAATATCTAGGTCTCATATAGAATAAGCTGGCTTAACTAAAAGTCGCGGGTTACTCACGTGAATTCACTGAGAAAAGCTGGGTCAGGTTGCGTGACATCGCCGCGACCGTGCACGCTGCTCCTGAGCATGAACCCCTCTGGTGGTTCGAAACTAGTAGAGCTTTTCACAGTATATTCACGTGAGTAACCTGCGATTTTTAGTTAATTCAGTATGCCTCACGATAGTTGTAATAAAAATAAGGTGACTCTTAATAATGCAACAGGAATGTACATTGTTTTACAAAGATAACGCAAATGCGTTTAATTGTTGAATGACTGCAGCTACACAGACGCAGCCATAAACTAAGTCGGTCTTAATATCAGTTGTTTGAGTACAAAGTTTTAGTACTTATTCACACATAATTCTAAAATAAAAAATTGATTCTGAAATAACTGCCCCTTAAGTACTATATGTTAACTTAAGTGTCCTTTTGTAAGCCCTCATGAATTTAGTGAATTGAATTGAATTTTAATTTGGGTTTTACGAAAGTTGAAAATATGCAGCGAAAATTTTTACATATGCAGTGGGTACCACTCCGCAACTATTGGTACCCTCTGCATATGTTGAAATCAAAATCAGGGGTGACGCAAGTACAAATGCAAAATTTGGTACTATTACACTTTCAAATTTGTATTAATATGCAATCTTGTCCTGCAGAATTGACAGGTCTGAACGTTCTGGAAAATAACGATGCACTGAATTGATTTGTTTGTGTGATTTACATAGGCCTTGATTTTGCGTATCAGCATACATAGGCCATAGCCCACATGCATATGACCGCGCACTTCTGTGCCGTTTCTTTTGAATCGAAAATGGGGTTTCAAAACCGTTACGACAGAGGCCAAATGAGGTCAACTAAAAGCACGGTCTAGCCAAATAAGGTCAACCAAAGCCACGGTCATAGAATAGACACAAATTCGGGTTTTAACGTTTACTTTGTTCGCTTATTAACACATAGTTCTTTGTATTGTACGACAGCGATGGTACTGGTGTACACCTACCACCCAGCGTGCACAACTTTGATGAATAAATATCTGTCCGGTGGCGCTGGAAACGCCGTCAACGATGCGAACGGTGCCTTCCACGACCCGTTCTCCTCCGACCCGGATGCACCCCGTCCATATACTCATCAGGTTTGACTCCTATTTGTAGCTAAGGTTTAAATTACAATAATACCTGAAGTAAATATGATGTTATTAGTTTCATGCTACGAGCATCATTGTTTTTGAATTTTCCTCGTTTGACAGCTACTTATTATACCAAGAAATTCATCGATTTTGAGTACATCGATGCAACAAAACATATTTGTTATGCAAAATCATAAGACTTGAAACGCGAATGAGGGTCGTCGCTGTTTAACTAATGTATTAGTCTTTTTGCAATCGAAATGTGAAAACACATTCATTTTTTTATTTGTACTATTTTGAACTGTATGACTAACAAGTTGGAGGTAAATAAATAGGCAATGTAACAGAAATATTAATTACATTGATAGTCGTATGATTAGAATAGACTATCCTACTAGATGCCGGGTATAGGCCTCATATCGTTTCATTGGTATCTCTGAAATTCTACTGTAAAATATATGAACAAATGCAGAAAAATGCGATGCTCCGCGCGGTGGCGAGTGGTGCTTTGCTCCCCGAGGCTGTACTGTGGAGTCTCCTTGTTCAACTCACGGCGGCGCTAAGAGCAATACACACTGCCGGACTAGCGTGCAGGTATACCAGCTGACTCCAGATTTCTATGATAAACATAATTATATTTTACTACCTATACTATTGTGAAGATACCTAAAGCATATCTAATAAGAAACCTTTTCCTCAGTAGCTTGGATCCCACGAAGGTGGTCATGAATGGCTGTCGCGTGCGCATATCCTGGTCCGGAGCCACCGACGCTCTGCATGCTAACAGTACTGATATCGCGCAGGTAACATATCACTAGCATTACATCTTTTCAACTAACAGAATAATCATCAATCATTGGTCTAACACAATAACCAACCAAACTCGTTCGATTCGTCGTAGGCACAGCAAGACGACCTGACGGCTCTGGGTAGACTCGCGCTGGCGCTGGCCTGCCGCACCATCCACTGCGACAACCTCGCCGCCTCCATGGAGCTCGTCGCGCGAACCTACTCCGCCGACCTAAAGAACCTTATACTGTATGACAATACCGTTATTTATGTACACTACCATTTAAGCTTACGCACAACTTTCCATTCTAATCCAAATTACAGGAGTTTATTCGGCATTTTCTTTTACATAAATTATTCCAACCGGTTTCATTTAGTTACTTTTGCCATGCGAGTCAGTCTTTACATTATTTCGATATTACAATTTTATTATTTGATTACATTTAAATCACTCTAAAATACATACCTTCTTTTCAGTCACTAATATTATTCACTAGACCGGATTAATAAGTCTTTTCGTATGATCCTCTGTAGTTATTGTCAATGCAGTATCAATATATCTTACATGCAGCAATATTTTACCCGCGAACAGACGACAAGACTTATTTAGTCTTCCCCTACATTTTGCTTCTGATGGTTTCCGTTAGTCTCTCAGTTATATTGCCGTATATCCCTTTATGTTTTCATATTTAATTAAGATGCGAGGTAAAACGAAAGGTTATTGTCATTGCATTGGCAGGGTTAATATGCGAAACCTGATAAATCAACGTGTTGCGGGGGTCGGAGAACAATCGCCCCGAAGTCTGCGTGCGCTGGTTTCAATGAGCACATAGCTGTAGTAGCTTTTAGCAAAGCGGATCTACACAATATGCCAGAGGGTCCGCCATGCTGAGGAAGAGGAAGTAGTTCTCATAACAAAGACTTAATGATTCAAAGAGTGCGACTGGCACAGAACATTGATACGTATGTCTTTGGAGTAACCTTTCAGATATATGTCTAATACTGAATGGATGTAGATCATTATTTATTTGTACGCTAGTCGTCGGTGTTGAATACTTTATTCGTGATATGATAGGTACTGCTTAAGCTTTCGATGTTCCAACCTCATATGTGACCCGTTTGCGTGCCCTCTATATGTGAACATTATTGTGCGTGTACACTACAACACTTATGATTGTTGTTTCTGTATTATGTTAAATTCCATCTAGGTATTTATTATCGTCGTCGACTGCTCGCCGCTCCGTCACTGATCTCATGCCGATGATAGGTGCCAGGTTTTACACGCAGGTAATTTTATTTGTTTCCTCCATATTTATGTACCGTTTCACAATTATCTCTGTGAAAGTAGTTTTACTCACAGGTAAATTATATTTCAATACTAAAGCGCATTAATGTTGTTATTTTGATCGTCCATTTCCATGTAGTTAGTCCGTTTTAGAAATGTCTGTTGACGAGCATGTTTTTGCTTTTATAGTTAAAAGTACTATTTATGTCGTAAGTAGTTATGGAATGGTGATGTTTCGTTGCAACCAATCATTTATGGTAGTAGTTTATGTCGTGTTACACCAACGATGAATTTGAGGATACGCGCCGTGTAAACGTCAGGTAAAATGTAAATGCGTAAGGCACAAATACTTTAAACATGAGTTAAAAAGATATAATGTTATGACTTGAAAATGTTTCTGTAGGTGGAGGCGCTGGAGCGACGTGCTGATGTATTTGAAGACCAACTGGCTCGCGAGATTGATAATGGAAGACTGCTACGCATACTCATCAAATTAGGAGTAGTTAACGAGAGGCCCGAGTGAGTGACACACTATTCATGCTGCTTATAGCGCTTTTTACTTAGGAAGAGTACGGCGACACTTGGATGTCACCGTACTCCATTTCCTACCTGACGGTAAATTTGGTCATTAGAGAAATAGAGACAGATATTTGATGTAGGAATTATTCAAAAGGAAATCTATCTCTATTCGACAAATCTACGGATATTATTTTCGCGAAATATTTTTGTGAATATGTGTTAACGTTATTTCTTTGCAGGTTGAACCTCGACGCATCTTGGTCTGAGACTGGTGACCGGTACATGTTGAAACTGTTCCGGGATTACTTGTTCCACTCAGTGACCGCAGATGGCAGGCCCTGGCTCGACCAGGCGCATTTGGCGCACTGCCTCAATCAACTCGATGGCGGTACTACGGCTAGGGTAAGTTGATAAACACATTCCAATAATGTTAGGATTCATGGAAAACCATTATAGTATGTTAAAACGTGCATATCTTTAACAGACGTTATTGAGGGTCCTAGATATCAAGGAGAAGTAGAGGTCGTTTAATAAGTTTAGCGCTATTATTCAATACAATGATTGTCAGTGGCACAATTGCACTTCACTGCAGATTCCGTCGCTATTATATCCACCCTACATTGCACGTACGTTGTTATCTTCCAATTGAATGCAATTGTTACACTTTCTTGAATTCGTTTGATGCTATGTATGTAGTCTGTGTAATGGAATGACACTGATCATGGAGGTAAGTGCTAATTAGAAATGTTGTGAGATGGTTGTTTGGTGCAGGTGGAACTGATGTCGCGCGACGAGCAGAGCGTGCTGGTGGTGTCGTACGCCGAGCTGAAGCACTGCCTCGAGCAGGCATTCGAGGAAGTGATGCAGGCGGCCGCCGCCGAGCCCTAGCTGCCGCCGGCTGCGTACCCGGCCGGCTACACATTGCAATAACTCGAGTAATTACTCCATCGCTGCCTTCATCGACGTGGCTCACATGCTCGGTGTTCTTTACATGCCGCCGCTACATTACGCAGCACATAACACATTGAACTGACCTAAACTAGTACTTGTAAGAATATTGACTCGTTTTAGTCTATCGCATGTCAAGAATATCCGTCGTATGTATAAACACGCGTTAATATGCGTTACATGTGCATTTTTTGACGATGTTAGTAGTCCAGTTAAAGTTATAAATGTTGATTTATTTGTAATGTGAAGCCGCCGAGCCGGTCCGTGTTCAATTCTGTCATCCGCGAATAAGATATTTTTGTAGGTGCGTCGCAACTTTTGTGCTGAATTCGTACAAGTTCGTATATTCGATGGCAGTTATTGAACCAGTGGGGATATCATTGTTACTTCCCCTATTGGGGTACAGAACATCTGTGGGGTTACCAAAAATAACGAGTCTTAGTGAACAAGGCGCTTGCGCCCCTTTTCTTGTCCTTCAGAAGCTCTCTCGTCTAGTTTAGTATTACACGAAAGAGCCAGTAAAGTAACAATGCTTTTCTAGGAATATTCCTGACTCTGGGTTGTAACGCGATCTCATTTCAGAAGCGGTCTCGACCCCTAGAACGCTTCTCAATAACTGCACCACATAAACAAAAGATACAATATTTTTTATACTTATGACGGTATTATTTATCTCTTCTAATTAATTGTGAATAATTTTAATGAACTGTGAATACTTTAAATTAATAATAATTCCTAACCTTTTGACCGCCAGAGTAAAGGACACGATATTTTTCATTTCTTTTGCTAATTATGTTCCTTAACTCGTTCTTATTTATATAATTGACTTTATTTATTTATATATTATCTACACAACAACACTGCGCAGGCAGACATTCATATATAAAATTTAAGTACATAGGTCCTGTAGACCTGCTCTTTTTTTAAGGATCGTCTATTATTTAAATAAAATGACAAAGACCTATACAAATTATAAAATACTATTTAAGTATGTAACCTTAGCTTGGCGCTGAGGTGCCCTAAGTCTTTGCTTTTTTTAACGAGGCGGTCAAAAGGTTAAACTGTAGGAATTTACCTATTCCTGGGTTTTGAGTGTTCGGTCACGCCCACAAAATTATTGCATAAAATTGGGCCTTGTCGAAGTACCGTTACGATTAGCCGCCTGAACAAACGCCACAAACATTCCAAACTAACAACACAAATGGTGGGAGCTATCAAACGACTGTTTTATTGAATTCAGAATTGAGCAGTTGCTAGTAAGCTGGGCGACGCGGCGGGGCCCGCTGCTCGCTGCTGTCGCTTTATCGAAAGACAACGGCACGCGTGTGCTCAGCGGAACTGAACTGAGCTCTATGTTTACACGGCCACAGCCACATCACATAAAGTTAATGTTAATGAAAGCCGTGCTCATCAGTTTCCTTAGCTGAGACACGGGTGTACTCGTTGTTAGTATAGTTACTGTTATGTCACGTAGATCTGAATTTGTATTGTGTTGGGGCGGGGCGGTGCGGCCACCCGGTCGGTTAATGTTAGAAAGATCGGAAAGATCTCGATAATAAACCTATGGCAATAATACAGTTTTATATGGCCGCGGACGGCGCGCAGTGTCCACCTCGCCCTCGTTTATATCATGTTGTTGCAGTTTATTATACATTAAATAAATTTTATTGCAATCTGTTTCACTCTCCCTCGGACGTCGTTGCAATGTCTGTCCCATACGGAGTACGGACGATGCAGCTCGTCGATTGTTTTGGTTATAGGGTTCCGCAGAGAGGTAGCACATTACTCTCACTAATTTATGTAAGTAAATTATTTGTATCGATCAAATGGTTAATTATTTTTTAATATTAGTCAATGCTGGTTATTTAGGTGTTAAGCAGGGTAAGCGAACAGAGCTTTTGATAAGTTAATGACGTTTAAATTTATTTTGCTATGCACTATTGCGATTAAGTAAATCACGCTCAATTCGTCCATCCTATAATAATTGTGATCACTGTTGAATTAATGGAAAGTAAATAGAAGAATACGTATTTATAGATTGATGTTCTGTTTGTCTGCGGAAACCCTATATACTCATGTTGATCCAGGGCAAGCTTATTATTCTATTCACGTTGGTAACTTTGTATCTAGAATGTGTTCAACTAGTTACTGTTTTACCATAAATAACCCATTTTTGGGAGAAATATATGACTATAGATCAATAGATGAAATGTACCTAGGTGCCTAGGTACAATAATTATGTTCTAATATTTATTTTGAAAGTAAAGTAGATATCCCATTGTTGAATTTGCAAATTCCGATCTATGTAGAGATGGACTCTGAGAATAAAAATATTTTGAGATAACTATAAGTGTATATTTTTTTCTAACAAATAAAACGTTTTAACAAATTATGGTTCTTTTATTGTTTTTCTTTTAATACCCAGTTTATTCGATGTTTTACTTGTACTAAATGAAGAAGGTAAAACCAACGTTCAATATCTGTGAAGATCCTTTATATTATTTTGAATACATATAATATAGTGACTCTTCCTTACTGGTAGTAAAATAAATAAGACTATACCGAGTCCCATTCCAGACATATATATTGAGAATTTTTGAACAAAAAGGCCGCAATATTCTGCTGAATCCGCCCGACCTGAGACTTGTGCTCAAAACACCATACTAGCTTACTTCTCGACCTAGTCCTCGTCACCCAGATTATTTTTGCTTTTTGCTCAAATACTAAAACTGAACAGATGCAAAACTACTCTGGATGTCCCATCTCTAGTGGATGAGGATGCGCAAAACGCATTCTACCGTAAACTCCCGGACCTATGTATATTGTTTTAGCAGTTGTCTTTTTATTATATTTGACCCGGCAAACTTCGTACCGCCAAAAATTTTTTTCAGGCATTTGAAATCTTCCATAGACTTTCACGAATATTTCTTTTTTTAACGAACATTGACTGCCTCGTTGGCCGGGTGGTCGCAAGAGCGAATGTCGGGCAAGGTGTCTCGGGTTCGATTCCCGCGTCGGGCAAAGCATTACAGGATTTAAAAAAATCTCAGTGGTAACACGGTGTTTGGAATTGTGCCCGGTGTATGAATATAGGCTCGCCCCCTATTACATGGGACTTAACATAAAATCGTGAAAACTGGGTGTTTCATGGTACAGTGTATGTACATTAAGGGCCGTAATGTGCACCTCTGCCTATCCCTTCAGGGATAAAAGGCGTGATGTTATTTTATGTGATGTGACTTTCATTCAACATTTCAAGATTAAAATTACATAAATTGGTTAGCCGTTCTCGAGTTTTAGCGAGACTAACGAACTGATATTCATTTTTATTTAAAGACATAGATATTATTTTAGAAGTCAGTCATAAGTACTTGATTGCTAGTTTGAAAGTGATGGAATTTAAGCATGTAATAATTAGATTCCCCGCGTCCCCGTTGGATGATAAGAAGCCTATATGTTATCCCAGAGTATAATCTAACACCTGTTCCACATCCTTTCAACCATTTTCATTTAATTATGGCACAATCGTTCACACAAACTTTCACATTAATTTATTATGTTAGTAAGAACAGTACGCTAATCGAGTAAAAGGTTGAGTTCAATTTCTGGATCGGGTAAACTTATAGGTACATAGATATCAGTATCACATCTAATACCTGCATACACCAACAAACAGATAGGTAGTTAATCAGTGATCCGAGTTATTGCTCGACCAGCTGTTTTTATGCATTTTATCAATAGAATTCAAAATTCTCAAAATTATTATCTCTATATGAATATTCTAAAGGTGCATTTTTATTTTGGTCTAAAGAACTTATAAAAATTATTTATTTAATTCTTATTATCATATTCAAAACTCTGCAACTCTTATGGTGTATGGTCAGCTTTAAATACATACTTGCCATATTCAAAAAATGTGTAGGAGACAGAAATGATTAAATCTGAACGCACCTGATATTTTTAGTCATTCATCCATCACTGTCTGTTTTCTGAATACTGTACGGTCTGTTTGTAAATGTCAAACAAACATTAGCGCAGTGTGTGTGTGAGACACGGCCGCACGGTTTATTTTATCCACCCGAGACTACTTACTTAAATGCTCATACATAACTGCATCCGATCATTATTTTATCCCATGTAGTTGGTGGCACTACCACAGTCTTGTTACATCCGGCGGTGATAGCACCAGTGCAATGAATCCCGTCTGCTATAATGGGGGGGCCCATGATAGACTTATACATGAGGCTGACCAGCTCATTTCTCATATCGAGCGAGGTTCCATGATCCTAAAACTTTATCCGCGCAAGCGGCCTGAGCGTCGTTCTCTGTCCGTAAGAAGAGAGACCCTACAAATTATTTGGGCCAGGGCAGGCATTCCACCGAAGAATATGTTTGAGGGCGCGCTCGACATACGAGACATCAAGGAAGTGAGGCTCGGCAAGGGTTCCAAACACTTCGAGCGCTGGGCAGAGGAAGTCAAGAGGCTGGAGAGCTCCAAATGTTTCACCATCTATTATGGTTCTGAATTCAAACTGCGCGCAGCTTCGTTTGCAGGTAATTTATAGTTTGTAAACATGTCTAATTATATCGGGGCCTCCGAATTGTCACATAAATTGCTGGCTGGATGTGAAACTTACATAGAATTTGCATTGCCGAGTTATTGTTATGATTAGTGTATGTACACATTTCTGGCGATATGTATGTTTTAACTCTGAGTCACTGAGCCACTTTAACAATCTGCAGCTCAAACTGACAAGGAATGTGAGGCCTGGGTAAAGGGAATCAGGTTTCTCATTGAGGAGGCAGTAAGTGCATCTTACCCCTTGCAAATTGAGAGATGGCTGCGGAAGGAGTTTTATGCTATAGAAAATGCTCATGAAAAGTAAGTAGAAGTCTTGTTTATTTGATACAATGTAAATTAAAATATTCCTAACCTTCAGTAGGACAACCATTGTCAAATGTGAATATTGAATAATAAAATATATCCTTTTTTTGTATTGGCATTTGATATCAGATACAATTGTAGCTATGTTCCACGGAATATAGACAGGGAGACTTCTTTTTTACATACATTACACAGATTTTTAAGCATAGAATTTATAGACATAACAGAAAAATTCAACTAGTAAACTAATTCCTGTAAGGTTTGGGTTGATAAATATTAATGAGTGCAACTGAATTAATATGGCATCAGCAAGATTATGTTGAACATAAAATGATTTATAAACTATATCTTATATGTGTAATATACAATAAGTACAGTCTGGAGTTGAACTGAATAGGAGGGTTGTCTGTGTGATTATGAATAATACCATTTGAAGAATGCAATTTACACCAGTGGTAAGAAAATGGTATTATTCATAGGAATATTAGAAATTAAGCGTCTTTAACTTATTTACAGGGAAAAAAACAAATGTTTTGCAGCAAAATTCTTTAAACTTAAATTCAGAAGATTATCGGGGGTGAAAAAACAAGACACGTAATTTTTCTGTATCACACAATCAATTTGTTTTCCAGATGTGTAAAATCTGGTTATCATAGCTGCGCATAGTCTTTTCTTTTTTTTATGAGTAGACAGCATGGTTCGCTTATGGAAGCTAAAATATTTAAGTATGTGTTAATGTTTATTTTAAATGTTTTTAGTATTTTACCTAAGTAGGATTGCTGAAATGTCATTGCATTGAAGAACTACATTATTGAAGTAACTTATAGTATCTTAGGGGCTTAAAGTAATAACTTTTATTATCTGGACAATAAAATAGAAAAAATGAAACAAGATTAAGAATTATTACTTTGCTGGAGATAACATTCATGTTTAAAAATAGGTACTTATAAGGTATTCCTAATGTAATGATACAATTTTAAGTGACTTCAATGCATTGCTTTGTTACTGCTCATATATTTGGTACTAGTATTTAGTTCAAAAGCCCTGTTCAATGTCTAGTAGAGATTTTACTTTTATTATTGTTTAGATTGTTCATATGCTCCGTGATATATGTAATTGTAAGACTAATGCGTATTTCGTATTATTTAGCATCTCTTTGAAAGAAGTGAAAGGATTCCTTCCAAAAATAAACTGCAAGATAGCAACCAACAAGCTGCGGGATATATTCCAAGAGGTGGACACAGACAAAAGGGGAGAAATCGGCTTTGACGACTTCTCTAGCCTTTACCAAAAACTGATTTTTGACGAAAATGTGAGTCTGTATTTTGAAAATAGAACTTTTGGTCATTTTTCATACACAATAATGTACCTTTTTCTTTTTCTATGTTGGTATATACATTGGTTTAAGTGACTTATAACTGTGTTATTTCCATCAACAGAGCGTCCACGATATTTTTGACAAGTACTCTTTGTACTGCAAGAATGGCTCGACAATAACTTTGCGTGAGTTCCAAAGCTTCCTCCGAGTGGAACAGCATGACAGGCTTGGGGATGACGAGGCCGTCGCCTCACAGTTCATACGAGATTACCTGCGCGATCCGCAGAGGGATATCTATGAGCCGTATTTCACTCTGAATGAGGTAACCTGTTATATATATTTTTTATTTTTTTTAAAGGGGTTAAATCATCGAATGGCTTTTCCGCCCGGGTGAGGTGAGAGAGACAACTTTGTGACAAAAACCACCCCATCCCTACTCTGCACTTCGAACCGGATTCTCGGTAATCTGTTACGTTTTCCGCGGTTCCATATCGGCATCAACCCTAATGCGCCCCATCTGTGGTGGTCTGATGACTCTTTGAGGCGCACGCTGAACGCGACGCGCAGTACGTCCAAGTTTTGTACCCTTAGTACGAGTTGTTTTACGTTAAACGAGATCGAAACGAGACCGTGTTCGGCGCTCTCATTAGTTAGTTAATTGGAGTCGGCGGTTACCCATGCTCGCTGTCCGCAAGCTTACGGTGGCCAGAGATCATCTCGCGATCTCGACGCCAGACCAGACAGCCCGACGGCTGACTTATCAGGAGGCTGCGCTTCACTGCTTTTCGCGCCCCGCCTTCTCCTTAGCTAAGGAGGAGACGGCATCCCATTTCTCCTTGCTCCGCATCATGGCCCGAACTAGGGCCAGCCGTGAGGGGTTGCCCTCGCCGATCACATCCCTGAGAGCACGCCACCATATACTCTACCGTATCCGCCGGGCGGTCCTCACAGTGATGACACTCGGGCGTTTCATCCCACCCTGCAGACAAAGGTATCTCCTGAAGCTCCCGTGACCGGTTAGTACCTTTCTCAGGCGGTAGATGAGGACGCCTTAACATCTCTAAAGCCACTGCTCAAAGAAGGAAGTTAGCGCCGCATTGGCAGCGAACATAGCCCTCGGTTCGAACGTAACCCCCGGTTGCGACTGTCGCTTCTGCCATACCGCCATGAGATCGCACCGTAGTATCCTGCCAGCTGCCACGCATTAATCTGGCGCGGCAACGAAGTGTCGCCCCGACGACGTGCCTCCGCGCACAAACAAAAAACACGCGTGAGGACCTTCGCCTCTAGATCTCACGGCGGTAATTCGGCAAGGAGGTTCGCCGCCTCCCCGGAGACCGTGCGATATTCGCGGATCATTTGGATCACCACGAGCCTCTGAGACTTAAGTATTCGTACTTTTAGCACCTACTCACTCTACAAAGTAGTACAAAGGTATAAAAAGCTCTTGTTATAGATATTGATTTATTTCAGTTTGTTGAGATGCTATTCTCGAAACAAAACACCATCTGGGACAGTAAACATGACGCTGTGACGCAGGATATGACGAGACCACTATCCCATTACTGGATATCTTCGTCACATAATACGTAAGCACCTTTACACTTAAATTTCGTCGCAAATTCTCTCTATATGTACGCCCACGTCGATTGACGTCAACAAGAAATATTGACCTAACCATCGTCGCATGAAACTCTATCGAGATTTATAACTCGTGTCTAAGTCTGCATGAACTATGTTTCTCCTTCTAGGTATCTAACCGGCGATCAATTTTCGAGTGAATCGTCTTTGGAAGCTTACGTTCGTTGCCTGCGGTCTGGGTGCCGATGCATAGAACTTGACTGCTGGGATGGCCCGGACGGAACCCCATTTATTTACCACGGCCACACACTGACCACCAAAATAAGATTCATGGATGTTCTACGAACAATAAAAGAACACGCTTTCGTTGCGTCCGACTACCCTTTGATTCTGTCGATTGAAGACAACTGTACCTTGCCTCAACAACGTCGCATGGCGACCGCTTTCCAAGATGTCTTCGGAGACTCGCTGGTCGTCCAGCCATTCGATAAAAACGAGTCTTGTCTGCCTTCACCTGAAAACCTGCGCAGAAAAATAATTCTAAAACACAAGAAGTTACCGGAAGGGGCGGAGGAAACTTCCTTTTCGTTTCGTCAGGAAGAGGTAAAGGATTTAGATTTGCGGAATTCTATCAAGAACGGAATATTGTTACTCGAGGACCCGGTAGATAAGGAGTGGAATCCCCACGCTTTCGTACTGACGGAATCTAAGCTGTATTATACTGAGCATTACAGCAATCAGCAGGAGACTGATGCGGAGAGTGATGGAGAGCCTGAAGCTGAGGCCCCTGTGGTTCCTCAGGAGGAGCTACACTTCGGGGAGTGCTGGTTTCACGGCAAGCTCGCTGGGAATAGGCAGGAGGCTGAGGAGCTGCTGCGGAACCACGCACACCTCGGAGACGGCACCTTCCTCGTGCGTGAGAGTGTCACATTCGTGGGCGACTACTGTCTGTCGTTCTGGCGCCAGGGCAAGGTCAACCACTGCCGCATCAAGTTGAAGCAGGAACGCGGTGTCACCAAGTACTATCTCATTGACACCGTCTGCTTTGACAGTCTCTATAGCTTGATCACACACTACCGGCAGCATCCATTGCGTAGCCAGGTAAGTTTGTCTGAATAATAAGTTGGTTAGGTTGTGAGCAATGTTTCAGAATGACAAAGTAATATTATTCTAGGAATTCTTGATAACGCTAAGGGAACCGGTGCCTCAGCCAAACAAGCACGAGGGCAAAGAGTGGTTCCACCCATTCTGCACACGTGCTCGGGCTGAAGAGTTGCTGCGCAAGGCCAACACTGACGGCGCGTTTTTAGTCCGACCCAGCGAGAAGGACAACTCTTCGTTTGCTATAAGTTTCAGGCATGTATCTATTCAATAAACTTGCATCATATAATAATATGTACCTACCAAACAAACACTCTTTTCTATTATTATATTATTGACGTATCTCATCCATAACTTATTGGACTCGAGTATCATCAGATCTTAATATCACTGGATCTTATCTGAACATCAGTAGATCTTAGAATCACCGATGTTTTTTCGGCATATGCGTATATTATGCTCGTTTGACACCATGGTGTGTTGTCATATGCCATTCATAAAGAAATATATCATACAAAGGCGTCAAGAATCACGCGAACCACATCTGAGCTAAAGCAATCGCTGCAATCAAATATTTTGCGTTGCGGCCCCTCTGCGGCTAACAAGCAAGAACAATAAGAAAATTGATGTGATTGAATTGAAAAATGCGTTTAAATTGCTGTTATCTAGTGCATCTATCATTTTATTTATTTGATTAGCCTTGCCTCCTTGACACGTATATAGGTAGTTAGCTACCTGCCGCGTATCAACACGGTATACTGCATTTATGCAGCAGACGTCTTTGAGACAGTACCTATTAGCATATCGTTTGGTGTTGTATCGTCAGTACCTCAGGCTTCAAGTAGGTACATAGTGTTTTTCAGATTATTATCTAAACCTAGAAGCAACTATTTTGTATTAATTGTTTCCGGAGACCATTCTTTGCGCGATAAATATTTAAATCTTGCGATAACTCGTTTACAAAATAGTATTAAAATTCGATTCTGTTTTAAATATCTTTTATGTAACAACAATTCAGTTGCAAGTCAAAGTACTAATCTTAAGGCCATCGATAGTTACCATCATATTGCATCTTTCTTATTATAATACGTAAATAGGTACATTGTCATTATAAGTGCATTATCCGCATGCTAACCAGTGTTCTATACCTACATTGTAAAGTTAGTCTATTGATTCTTTCAAATACTTATTAGCTTTCGACTGAGAGTTTCGTGTTTTCGCTCTATTAAATTTACAAACCGTTTTAAGGATATTTTACCTAGAATTGTTATTACAGGTAATTATTTTTTAAATATATTTTACTTTTCAGTATTAATTTCTTTTGCCGTAATTGTTTTAATAGGCTTAGCGAAACTGTAACATTTAATAAAATAACAAATTCATACTCTCTGCTAACATACAGCCATTAATTTCGAAATTTAAAAATCTGATTCAATCGAGCCGATGACCGACTGACTAAACCAATAAATATTTGTAAAAGCTGACCGAAATAGAATAAAACATTTTTTCTTAGATATACGATGCTAGAAATAGAAATACTACTCACAACATTGAATCAGACCACTACAGAAATTTCGTTCTCAAATTGCAACTAAAACAAATTGCAAGCAAAGCGAGAAAATGCCCTTGAAATTGAAATTGCTAAGTAATAAAGTAGTTATAGTTTTTCTCCTGACCTTTCCCAACTAGGACGGGGTCAGCGCTGCATCTCGGCTAATTGAATACATTTTACGAGGAGGTGCTACACTATCTGCCCGACTTCATCGACTGGGATACATAAATCCTAGGTACTTTTCAACCCATAACTAATAGATCGACTAAAAAGTTCCGTGTTGCATTGTACCTGGGTTTCTCGCTGTTGCAATGCATCTTTCGTGTCTCCTGCAAAATATGCAAATCCCCTAAAGTCCTGACTTATACGAGTTACAGTGCTCTGGAAAATGGTGGCCATTTATAAGAAGTAAATCGCAAATCATCAAAATATTTAGTTTTTCAGATTTTACCTAATACTATTAGCAATGATTTGCCTATGTCTAAAGATTCCTACCCTGTGTTGATTTGCACGTTACAATGTTTCCAACTCTTAAGTTCATCGAACGCCAGAGATAAATGTAGCGGCAACCAAAATCAGAATCTGTTAAGTTATAATGACTGGCACATTTAGATAAAAGTAGGCATGAAGGTTATATCTACGTGATTTAGCTATACCACAATAGATAGTGCCTATATGAGTCATTTATGGGAATTAAATCATTGGCATACAACTTCCTATGACTCCTATGAGTAGTATTACCCTAATATTTTTTAAATCGCGCATACTTTATTACTGTAGTTAAATGTCAATTTGACTCGAATTTATGGCTCGGAAACTGCACTAGCACTTTTAGATTACATGTGAAATTGCCACAGTTTAAGTACACAGCATAATCGCGGCTGTGGCTACATGATTAGAAGTGGTTGCCATTCCAGAACATTTGTGATAACACGGTTGTACTTAACAATATACCTACAGAGGTCCAATGAGTTTTAATAAATAAGTAAATGTTCAACCATGTACGTAATAACATTTTCAGGACGCAAAGGGAGATAAAGCACTGCAGGATCAAGCTTGAAGGCCGTCTTTATACCATCGGCACGGTGAGGTTCGAGAGCCTGGTCGAGCTGGTCAGCTACTACGAAAAGAATCCTCTGTACAAGAAGGTTACCCTGTGGCTACCCATCAGCGAAGAGCTTGTTAGGCGTATCATAGCCGTAAGTAACATTTATCACTTGCGGTTAGCTTTACAAGTAGAGGTATCTTTAAATTTCGGTTTGGCGACATACAGTTGAATAATTTATCAATGAAGACACTATACTAACTAAAACAGAATTATCAAATTGCTAAGAAAGAAATATAGTCATGGCAGGTAGATAATAAAGAATAATAATCTATTATTACGCAGGAACCTGACGACAATACTGTATACGGGACCCCTGGCTACATGGATCCGACAGCTTTCACTTCCAAGGTAACTTTCATTAAATCTTCACTAAATACTCTTTGCAATTTATTAGTCTTGCATATTGACTGTTATATGAGCAATTAATTACAGTAATGAGATACCAAAGTCAATCTACCTACTTAGGATTGAGAATGAATAGGTTTTCAGTAGAGGCAACTAACATGCTTTTAAGATGACATGATCGGTCCAATGCATGGCACAATATTATTATGGAGTAATGATTAGGCAATTATTGCATGTCTACTAATAACACAGGTGCCTTGCACAGTACTGGATTAACTGGATGAACATGCAGTAATATGAGAGCAAACGTGGTTTTGTGTTTCAATGACGTAACATATCATCACGCCTTTTATCCCCGAAGAGGTAGCCAGAGGCGCACATTACAACACTTAATGTCACTGAAGAATGTAACACCCACTTTTCACTATTTATGTTATGTGTCCCATGTAATAGGGGGTGAGCCTATTGCCATATACCGGGAACAATTCCAGACTTCGTGCTACTACTGAGATTTTTTTTATATCTTAGTAATTCTTTGCCCGACCCGGGAATCGAACTCGAGACCCCTTATCCGGTAGTCGCACTTGCAACCACACGGCCAACGAGGCAGTCTTCAATCAGTGTTTCAATTATTGGTATTAAAAATTAGGTCTCCTATTAAATATTAAACAAAACAAATTATAAATACAAGTAGCATCTTGATAAAGTCATCGTCGTTTTGTTTGTAAACGTCAAATAGCAGCGAAGGTATTATTAATGTATCTCACTCTGATACTTATAATTGGTGATGCGCCACCTGTATTATCTTCAAATCTTGTTCTGTAAATGGCAATTACCATTTCTAACACACATAGTTAAACGGTTAACACTGATGCCCGATTACTGAAACGCCACTCACTCTAGACGCCCGCTTCTCATGCATGAGAGTGCGGCTTCGAAACCTACCAGCGGCAAGTAGCAAAGTGACTTTTTTCGAGTTATATGTACTTTCTAGTGATAATGAAGGAAAACATCGTGAGAAAACGTTGGCTTATAATCCTTACTTCCTTACTAATATTATAAATCGGAAAGTGAGTTTGTTTGTTTGTTTGTTCCGCTTTCACGCCATAACTACTAAACCCATTGCTTTGAATTTTTGCAGACGTAAAGTTAGAAGTCTGGATTAAATAATAGGGTACTTTTTATCCCGGAAAAAATGATATTCTTGAGATAAAACGAAATCATTGGTATAGATGGCGCTATGTGTATATGTCACATAGACTACTTTTTATCCTTTTTTGACGTGAGCGAAGCCGCGGGTAAAAGCTAGTTTCTAATTATAAGTTTGAAATTGCTAACACGCTTTGAGCAAGCGTGGTGATTACTCACACCTCCGTGTGAGAGGAAGTTTTGCTCAACAGTGGGCATTATAGGCTGTTGATGAGTCAATTTTGAGTCGCGCTTCAGTATAGTTCTGTCGGTACAAATTCTTTGTAAAATGATTTAACATAGCCTTTCAGTATTCGGGTAGGAGTATATTAAATGTTGATTAGAATTTACTTCACATTTTCCGTAAAAGTATAACTATATCTCTAATATTATTGTAGTTGTATTATGTCATGATAAATTATAACTTTCACTATCTGTTCCCTAATGTTTTCTTATATGTATAGATTCAGGAGATACGGAGTAATGGTGGATCGGTGAACAGGTTAACTAACCAGCTTATAGTTAATGCACTTAGCTTTACAATTTGACCTATAATTGTATTTAATAACCTGATTAATACTCCTACGTTTGTTAACCAGTTACTTGTCCTAACAATTTTCAATTGTCAAGTTATTGAATACAATCTATTATTATTATTTTAGTATAACTCAGTTAAAATAAGTTGTCTTTAATTTTTTTCATTTTGCTCAATCGTTGGCCAGATAATACTTACCATTCATAGTTATTACTGTTTGTATTTACTCATGTCAAAATGTTCATTAACGCTGATTTGAGATCGCAATATCAGAGAAGGACACTTCTATCACATAACATATGTAATAAAAAATTGACATAATACTTTATACAAACTGCTTATGATTAACTACGCACGTATTAATGCTAACTTTGGTTATGATTCTACTTATAATTATCAACTAATAGCAATCATCATGAAAGATAGAGGTCCCTACTTTAATCCAAAGTAGAACAGTATTTCTACAATTACATTTAGCATCATAGTATATGAAAATTAGGTAAATGAGTAGTAAACAATTCATGAACATATAATTAGAAATGTTATTAGAAGTTTATCAATAGTGTAGATTTAAGCATTACCTTTGTACCAATCGGTTTGTGGTCAACACAAATAGATTGTTGTTAATGATGAGTTTTGAACAGGTGACTGTAAAAGCTTTGTACGACTACCGCGCGCGACTGGACGACGAGCTGTCGTTCTGCAAGCAAGCTATCATCACGAACGTGGACAAGCCGGACGGAGGCTGGTGGCGCGGGGACTACGGCGGCAAGAAGCACCACTGGTTCCCAGCTAACTACGTGCAGGAAATTGAGGTTCCGCACATTCCCGACGGCCCAGTTAGTATTGTTGACTCGGTAGCGACTAGCGACGCAATCACGCAACGCATCCATCGTGATAAGAACCCTAGAAACATTCCGCCTACAATAACATTGACTCTTTATTTTTATGTTGTTTCTATTTCTATGTTAACATTGATGTTGTTATTTCTCTGCCTAATTTCATATTTTCTTCTTTTACTTGTTGTAACTTCTTTACTTCCTTTGTTTTCATTTTTATTTTGGTTTTGACACAGTTTCTGATGTTTTGAGTGGATACCTAATATAATTTATTGTCATAGGGTCTCGAGAACGAAACCGCAGCTTTGGGCTCATTACAGAAAGGCGTCGTAGACGTGCTAGGCGCTGTGGTGGAACTGGTAGTGGGTGAGGAGGGCGGCGCGCCGCGCTGGCTGGTGCGCATACAGAGCCCTCAGATGTGCGGCCCCTTCGACATGGCCGCGCCCACCCGCGAGATTGCGCTCGAATGGCTCACCGCCATCAAAGAGGCTGCCATCAGTGCCAGTGCCCGCTCCCTCCAACATAAAAAGATGGAACGCACATGGAGGATTGCTAAAGAGATGTCTGATCTGATAGTCTATTGTCGCTCCGTCACTTTCAATCAGGAGCGCATACGCAACAAAGGCTTCATTTACAACGAAATGTCTTCTTTCCCCGAAACCAAAGCCGAGAGGCTGATGTGCCAACAGGAGACTTCTTTCTTCCTCAAGTACCACACCAAACAACTGAGTCGCATTTATCCGAAAGGACAGAGGATTGATTCCTCGAACTACAACCCTGTTCCGTTCTGGAACGCTGGCTCTCAGATGGTAGCTCTGAACTACCAGACTCCAGATAAGCCGATGCAGATTAATATGGGAAAGTTCAAGGAGAATGGTGGATGCGGTTACGTCTTGAAGCCGGAGTTTATGTTCGATGACGGCTACAATCCGTATTCAAAGAAGAGTATTGAGAAGAAAGTGAAGCCAATGTTAGTGATGCTGCGTTTGATCGGGGCCAGGCATCTCATAAAGACGGGTCGTGGCACTACCAGCCCGTCAGTGGAAGTCGAAATTATTGGGGCGGAATATGACTCTGGCACTAAACTCGTCACAAAGACAGTTGGTGAGTATAATACACACCATACATTCCTGTGAGGTTTAACAATATGGGTATACAATCCAGAATCTAGTTAAAACCGTTATGAATACATTACAGTACCCCTATATAGATTACTTTGTCATTCATTCATAATTTTAACGACATTCCTTTTTCGTTTCAGCTGATAACGGCCTAAACCCGATTTGGAACGATATTTGCGAATTTGAGGTAGCAAACCCCGAACTGGCTCTCATTCGTTTCCTTGTTCAAGATGAAGACATGTTCGGCGACCGAAATTTCATAGGACAGGCAGTATTCCCAATCACATGCCTGCGATCTGGGTACCGAAGTGTGCCATTGACCAACGCTTATTCAGAGGAACTTGAGCTATCATCGCTGATGGTCCATATATCCTTCATCGTCACCAAATAGATGAATTAGTAAATATATTCCCCTACAGCTGGGCATGATGTTTGTAGCCAAAAATTTGTCAAGATATATGGAGTGAGGTAAAAATATATTTATTTCACTACTGGAAATTAGAGAGGCAAAATTATTATATTTACTAAATATTTATGATCATTGTAATGTTATGCATTTATGAAACTTATGCAACATGATATAATATTGACTTCTAGAACGTACAATTATTTTATTCGTATAAATGTTGAACTAGGAGTAGAATTAATAAGTATATAGTGTCAGAGTCTATGGTAGTGTAACAGGTTCAGATTTGAGGTCATGCTTCACAGTGTATTGAAACACGGTTGCACTATGATCGCAGTTAAAAACATAAGTTTTATTGTCTAGGAGTAATTTTGCTTTACATAAACTAGAAAAAAAATAGTAGATAATCGAAGAATGCTACTATTTTGTCTTACAGCTCTAACTAATATTTATATTTCTTCGTGAAAACATTTTTTAATAATTCTTACACACATCAGGCCTGACGTTACAACTAAAACACTCGACTAGTGTAATTTATATTTATATAATATTTACATATTTTATATGTATATTGCAGCTTAAAAAAAGGTTTCTCGAAATTTTTAAAGCCTTGATGAACTTTCTCGAATATTTTGTGTTCCTAAGATAAACTGGATCTGAATGGTTGCTATTTTAGCCGGCTGCTATATTGGCAGCTTATATAAAGGGCTGGTGCCAAACTATATGTAGTTTAACAAGTAAATGAGTGCTATGGCGGTGCTTGAACCCAAATGAACTAACACTACATTATCTATGAATATTTAAATACTTCTCTTGCATGTTTATGGTGAAAGTTCAAGCCCGTATGTATTGTAATTGTAAAGTGAGAAGAGTGCCTAACATGCTAATTTATTTGAGGTGTGCAAACATGGTCTTCCTCGTAAATCCTAAGTCTCTTCCTTCTATTTTTAGATTGTCTTTAGACTAGGTATAGTAACACACTGCACCCTTACTTTGGCTGTTGCCAGTTATTTAATAACTTTTAACATTATTTCCAATTTCAACTATTATTTTAAGGAAGGTCATGTTTATATTTGTGTCAGGGAAGCAAAGAAAGCATAATATGAGCTTACTAAGACTGATTGAGGTAAACACAACAAAGTGAAATGAAAGTGAGAATATTAAACTCTATTGAAATTCCAAAGATTGGGATTATAACCTTTACTGCTACTGTGCAAACGCTGGAGTAAAGATACGACGGAGGACACATGAAATTGTCTCCGTTGAGTTTTAAAAAATACAGAAATCGATGAATAAGTAGGACTTTAGTCAAAGTCGATTTCTTTGTAGAAATATTTTGATGACGCTAAATAATCACAATACATTATAATCAATTATGTTTTGTAATGTATATGTAATGTATTTTTAATTAGTAGCATAATTTAGATAACGCATATGCAATTTTCCAAATATTTAGTTAAGTTCAAACATCTTTAAGAGCGCAAAAATATTGACCGGATGTTTGATACATTGTATCGTCAGTTTTATCTTACCATATTATATTTCAGTTTTTAGCATAATACATTAGTTGAAAATATAATATTTATTATAATACATTTATATGTACAGTATTTGAATATTTTCAACAAAATACTATAAATGTGCACAATGTAATTTTCATAGCTGTTGAACGTATTGGAAAGTTGTAACGGTTTGTGGCAGGTGAAAGCAAGCTCTTGCAATATAGGGCAGTAGCGATATCGTTACAGTTACTATTGAATTCGATGACGTAATGCAGCTTTATAAAGATTTTTTAATCATATCCGCTAGTATTAATATTGGATAAAAGGATCCCAAATTCATGGTGTCTATTGCCTGTGTCATCTGTCGAAAGTTAAAACTAATTAATTAAAACAAAAATTTTTTTAGAATATATTCCGTAAATCGAACAAATTCAAATGTTATTTTTAAATATACATCGAAATTATGATAAAACATACAAGTATCTAGATATTACCTCTCTCTCTAATTACAGATTTATTATTATTGTATAATAAAATATTATTTGTAGGACATAAAAATCACAGACTAATGATAGGAATGCTATTATTTTTATTATGCATTTACACTAAATTTATTTTTACTAAGATGGAATATGACTAATGCATTGACATAATTTATAGTGCAATATATTATTGAAATCGTTTAATTACTTATGTATTTAAATCACATACGTAGCGGAATATTTATTATTCGAGAAAATAACGTGCTTTATTGGTCTGTTATTTTTATAAAAATAAAAGTATCAATGATAAAAACAATGATTTTCAATCTTGTTGACTTGATAATTACTATATTCTTCTATGCTTGTAATGGAAGTAAATAATCATTGTAATTATATTTGTAATGGATAACGGTTTTTAAATCTTTAATTTTACGTTATTATTTTTATTTATTATGTGTTACTTTTAATTTTCTGCATATCTAACTAATATTGAATGGGTGCAAGGATTTATTTAAATATTTTTTGTTGAACAAGATATTAATAGGTAATTGGTATGGTTTTTAGATTAATCTTAAAAATTACCGCCGCCCGTCGACAACTATATTAGGTACTCTTTCAGTGTTAGTTATACACCAATAAACTGTCTGTTGTGAAATCCTGCCTATTGTCTCAAATATGTAGGTACTCCCCGTAGGCGGTTGCTGGAGACCTACGTGATTGTAACTTTATACTGATCATTCTCTTCAAATAAATATTAAAAATAAAGTCATTACGTTTAAAAGTGACAATTTTGAGTGACATGGTAAATTAAACTAATTAGAATAAAGTTACAAATTGATTATAAACTTTACCACTAGACTCAAGTTACCGCGTTATGTGTTATACTTCGTTTATTGTACACGTTGTAATGTTACAGTTAGTTATTTTGTGCCTAATTAAATCAAACAAAAGCACGCTAAAACAAGTCATTTGTATACAAACAGAAATGCTACAAGCATCGGCTACAAATATTAGGGCGCGGATTATAAAAACAAATAGATGTGAATGACATCACTGATTAGGTAATATTTGAATTGTGGTTACTCCATTTGCATATTATCTCTGAAAAATAATATTTCAACACCTCGAAGTAACAATTATCCCCAGTACGTGCACTTTGTTGGATTCAACCACTAGGTATACATTGGCAGTTTAAGAGTCGTAAAGTTTTTTTTTACTTTAATGTTTAATACTTACCGCCGTACTCAGATATTTAAAATTCTAAGAAAAAATATTCTAAAATTCTAACCAACCATTAAATCACTCTGAATACTGCGGCGGTTATTCACAATAAAGTAATTTACAATTATTCATATATTCTTCCCCATTCTTAACTTTATTCAAGATACTAGTGTATGGTCGCCCTTATGTTTATTATCATAAATATTTCTATTATTGTGCAGGTTTTACCTTAGCAATTTAGATGTTTGATGTTTTAGTTTAGTAGATATTAAATAAATATTTAATAAATTAAAAGGCCTTTTATTTTCAAACAACAATATTTTATTCCATTAGTTGGTTAGCGAGAATATCGGTGTGTGCGAATCAATAGTGACGTAAAATAGGCAACATTTTTTATCTGTATTTGATGTTGACTAAAGTCTGTGGTAGTGCATAGTTCACTCACTCACGCGAAGCTATTTACTTACCAACTACTATTGACGAGGGTTTTGTAGTTTCTTATTAGAGTTAATGATATATATTTTATCTGATTACTACATTTTTATGTAAAGTTTATTCAAATGTTAATATAGTTATTAGAAAAAAAGCTGTTCATTAACAACAATTGTATAGTAAAAATGTCATATGTTTCTGAAACACTTCAATGGCCGTACTGTTCGAGTGTCAATAATAAGTGTTTTGCTGTTCCGGAACTGTAAATTGATATGTTTTCATCAAGGAATGTGATAATGAATAGTTTTCAATGGCGCAGATGGTTTCTTTTTTTGATTTTCGCGGTGTACCGGAGGTTAGATACCGTCGATGGTGAGTGCTTTTCATCACTTGTCCATTTGCGTACTTTAATTTTGTCTAAACACAAATATAGATCTGTTTATATATATCTGAGGTATTCGAATATTTGCCATGAATACTTAGCTAGTGATTAGAATTATTTAAAATTTCTCTCAATTCATAGTATTTGCACGAGAGACCATTAAGTTCTAGTATTTTGAATAGTGTGTATTATTAAATAAATTATTAGAACAATACCTAACAAACGTAAATTTGTTATTAAATACGATTTAATCGTATTACTAGAGTTATAAAGGCTAATATTTTATTGTAAATTTTCTTAAAAGAAGTCAATCTGTATAGTAAATAAGTTTTAAATAAAAAAGTTTTGAGGGTCACATGGCTTGTGTTTAAAAATATCTAGATAGTTTTTAAACAAACTTGAAACTTGAGCAATATAAAAGAGGTTTCAAAAGAAGTGGGTAAAGGTAAAAATATACTGCAATGATATCACAGAATGATCATGAATTCATTTATTCTGACCTCATAAATAAATACAATATGTTACATTGTGTAAAATAAGTATTACAATGTAGAGGTTGTTTAAAAACCATTGTTCATTTAGAAAACAGGATTTTATTTTCTTAGCATTTACATATTGCTATTAAGTCGTTATTATTCTTTTATTTCAATATCAACACTTGTAAACAGTACAATCAGCTTGTTTTCCATATTTATGTGTAATGTCAAGTGTTGTGTATTAATGTTTATTAAAGATTGAATAGAGTTGGTATTCCAGTCTCGATTCTGATATCATTATAATATTCCTAGGTTTAAAATGTTACTGCAACAGTGAGAGATGTCCAAACTCCACATGTGAAACTGATGGGTATTGTTTCGCATCTACAAGTCTCGAGAATAAAGTACAGAAATTCACGTACCAGTGAGTATAAATTATATGTAACTCATGTTGAAATATACAAAAAATATTTTCAAAATTATTTTTCTTATTCCAAATTATCTCTGAGAATAATATGGATAGTGGCATTTCATTGTGTAATTAAATTAAAAAGGTACATATTTTCATTTACTTCAAGTCCATAATGTTGGCTAAGAAGGAATTCAATAAAACAATTGGCAAGCTCAATTCAACACAAACCTGTTGTTGTGGTGGCTCACAGGTATAATTCTAATCAATTTCTATCAAATGATTGACCTGTGTAGTGCGGTGATCTTAAGCTGTATGAACTTGAACGTTGCATTCCCTCCTGAAAACCCAGTAAAATGCAAAAACTCTACAATGTATTGCTGTAAAACTGATTTCTGCAATTCTGATGTGATAATACAAGAAAAATTGTCCAAAGTGCTTCATGCCTCCTCAATGGGTAAGCTGTTCTGTGCACTTGCGGGCGTGTCATGTATCTACTTTGATGATGCAGATTTTGAGTTTGTTTGATGTACTATTAGAATCATAATTATAATTGCATTGCCATTTCCTATAAGTTTTGTGTTGAGATGCCAAAATACTCTAACAATCGCTTTTGAATTAGTGATTTGAATATGTACCTACTAAGCAAAGAAAAGGTGCGGCCGCAGGTGCCGACAGAAATAATTAGTATGATTTGAATGATGTGCCGTACTCCTTAACCAACTCTATTTTCCGAGTGTGCGTTGTTTGCTTTAACCTACTAAACATAATGTATGGTGGTTCCACTTGCGGCGCAGCTGTATCGAGCTCAAATCACTGATACCCATCGAGCATCCCTTCAGTTGCTCTACAACGAAAACTAAAAATGAATCAGTGGTGATAAAATGTTGTAAGTCACATGACATGTGCAATGAAGGCCTGCGTCTGGACCTGCAACCGAAGCCGCCAGGTAGGAGCGACGTGGAGGTAGTGCCCTCGATGTGCCCCGCTAACTACTGCACTCTAGCTTCCCGCTCTTTACACTCGACGCCCGCAAACGCCAAGTGCCCAGCGCCCATCCTCCAGCGGGTGCCGTGGTTTATGGTGCGAGACTGCATGGCTATAGATTTTATTTTTTCTTCGTTTTGTTCTTAAATAACATTGTTTTTCCTTAGACCGGCATTGATCACCACCGTATAGGGTTTATTCTTTTTGTACTAATTCATGAATTTATGGACGTAGATGTTGGGACCAAGAAAACATATTGCCTCCCGGGGACATGCCTATATGGTGCCGCAGAAAAAACCCCGAAATATCTTGCTGCGCCACGGAGTACTGTAACCGTTACCTATTCACAGGTACAGTATTAATTCGGAATGTGTCGTCGGGGCGCGCTGTCTGGGTAGCTTACATTGTGATGTCCACATCAAATGTATTGTTGAATCGTACCATGTTAAAGTAACGTTCATCAGAGGTTCTTAATATGACTTGAGATAATCGGCTGCTCGGTAACAATCGTGCATGCAAGGTTAGCACGTAAATTAGGTACCTATATTGGCAATGGGACTCCGTCCTATTGATGCTGTCGACTCGGCTTACCTCATTTACAAGTTAAAAGATTTGTATTTGAAGGTAAAGATGACACGGTCGCATTGGGTTGTGCTCATTTGAAAAACGGATATATTTCGTTTGAACAGTAGAGGGGGATATCATTACATTACGATATGCATAGTAGTAACTGTAGGTACATGTGTCATAAAATGGGTGCAATTGCACAGAAGGCATGAATGACGGGATGTGTCAATTGTAATGGCATTATACAACATTGGATGTCTTGATTACATTATGTTATGCGTAGTACATATTATGTTAAAAAATTGGGTGCCGTTGCATAGAAGGCATGACGGGATGCATCAATTGTAATGGCGCTATACGACATCGAATGTCTTGATTACAGAAAGTAAAGAGGAATGTGTAGTCATTTTACAACAGGCGTGAAATAAAGGCGTAAGTGATCATAAGCCGGTTTTTCCAATTGATTTAAGCATGATATTTTATTTTATACTAATAGCATGCCACTTAACCATTATAATCGTAATTTATTTTTGCTAACATTATTTTTCAGCACTTTATTACATAGTTTACTGACAACAAAAAGCTGTGGGGCATGTAACTAACCTCTGCACGATATAAAAATATGTAGCTAATTATAAAATGGAGTAATATTAAGTTACAGCTAGGTTGCATATTTAAGTGATTCTGTGAAACATTCGAACAAACTTAGATTTCCTTTGTTCACCCATGTCTTTTATATTTGAACAAATAAATGTATTTTATTATTCATTGGCTATTAGAAGTAAGGCTTCATAATATAACGTTTTATATATAGCGATAGTCGGGTTGGTTATATATTTGATTGTACAAAAATGACGGTAAACAGTATTAGACCTTATTAAGTGGTCATTTTCTTTAATTATGTCAATTTGTGTACGCTTCTTTTTACAATTAATGTTACCTATTGAACTTAAATGTCTATTGGTTCAGCTTTTGCATGTGTGTTTTGTGTATTGTCCTCATTCTGTCCTTGAGGTTCGCTTTCGCTGTTTATTTTCTGTTTTGTGAGCAAATTATTTGTTGTAAGTAAACGGAACATGAATATGTTTATACGTCAGTCACACACAACACTCACACATGAAATACTAATACAAAGGTCTCTCCCTTAAAAAGTTCTTGAATAATCATTCAGAATATTAAAATTAAAAATTTATTACTGATTCATTTATACTTCTTGTACTTTATCGAAAAGTTAGTGTCGTCGGTCGACGTCATAATTAATCAGATGAACATTTTTATTTGCTCGTGATCAGGTCGACGTACTACGAACATTTTGCATCACAGCTATCAATTGAAAACCATTAAACGTCCTGCGAACAATAATGTTCTTGTAGAACCATTTGCCACGATTGTAAAGAATAATCCGTCTTTCGTCTATCTATATCATAATGTGTTTCTATTTCTCCAATACTTTCAATACAAAATTAAGATATATTTCTATTTAACCACTCGAGGGATGAATGACGTTGTGATTTTACACAGCACATGTAAGTTGGGCCACAAATTTCATTCCGTGCGTTTAACTCAGTCCAATCCGACTACGGAGTTGATGTGCCTGTGTTTAATGTAATGCATGCAATAAACTTCTTGGGTACCTACCGGGGACGTTTGTATTACATAAATCTCGCCGAACTCATCTTTTAATATCATTATAATTTAATAATGCTATTATATTACTCGAATGCTAGTTTCTGTTTTAGCTTTCTAAAGGTAATATATTTTTTAATTTGATACAGCCATATTTGTGTTGTCTTGAATGCTTTGTAATGTTTTCTATATGAATATTACGTATACTAATCGAAAAATTCTGAATAAAGAGACGGGAACCACAGCGACGGCATGGAAAGTATTGCCATGGGTGATGGGGTTGATGGTTCTCGGGGTTTGCGCTGCGATTAGCTTGTGGTGGGCGAAGAGATCTCATGGCCCGAAGAAACGGGTCACTTCAAGAACGCCCTATCCGAGCGATGACCCGGGGAGTGAGGCCAGGCACCCCATGATGAGAACTACCACTATACGGGATATGATCGAACTCACCACTTCTGGATCCGGTTCCGGTATGTATCTATTGGTTTGATAAGCATTATTTATTCATCTACGACACAAATTATTTATGCGTATATTTATCAATACATAACTGTTTTATGGATATCAAGTTTATTGTTGAAAAATGTGAACATGGAATAAATCTCATATCTTGTTCCATTCATCACTTTAATCTAAATTGAGGAAGAGCAGTTCATTATTGTGACCGACAATGCTCGTCGCACTCATACACGTATAGTGTCTTCGTAACTTCACGTCATGTAGGTACACTTTGTTACGTATGAATGGATTCATAAATGTGAATCAAGACGTGCCAAAGTGAACAATGATTGCCTTGAATCGATCTGCATTGATGCATCAAATTGAATGGGGCAATAAGAAAGTTCGCGTTATGTATGATGAACCTCAAAGTACTCAGTGGCACAGTTTTTTAATTTTACATACTGATTTCCGCTTTCCTGCTGATTTTCAAAATCGCCATTTTGTGTATACGGGACCTTTAACGCTTTTAATTTCTTGAAATATTTTTTTATTATTATCAACTTAAAAATTGTCAAATAGATAGTAATATGACATTTATAATCATCGATCGATCGACCTTCAGCTCTTCGACAAACACTACACAATGTTATTTCTCTTGTAGGGCTGCCTCTACTAGTCCAGCGTTCAATCGCTCGTCAGATCCAACTGGTGGACATTATCGGAAAAGGTCGTTTCGGAGAAGTCTGGCGCGGTCGTTGGCGCGGTGAGAATGTCGCCGTCAAAATATTCTCCTCCCGTGAAGAGTCCTCTTGGTTCCGCGAAGCCGAAATATACCAGACGGTGATGTTACGTCACGAGAACATTCTTGGCTTCATCGCTGCTGACAACAAGGGTGAGTCCAGTACTAACAAAACATTTCAATACTATAATGTGCTTCCCTACTACATTCTGGTAGGGTGAGGGTGACTAATTGTAATTATACATTGGGCTTGAATTACCAATATCGATTGTGGCTGGTGATGGTGAGTCGACCATTTCGATGTGTTTGTTCAGGTTTCAACACGACTATGTTTCCGTTTGTTATGCTTTTAGATCAGTAAAATTATAAAGTTAAAATTGCATCTTCATTAAAATTATGCATATGCAAGTAAACCCATAATTAGTTATGTCGCTCAACATGGAAGGAAAAGGGTGTCATGGTACGTGGGCGCGATTTGCTAGCCATAATTACATGCTCCAGTGATACTCAGGTTATAGAACAGGATAATGGTATATATTATAATAACTAAATGTGTGGTCCTGTGAATCCAAATGACATGCCTAACTACACGTAATAACTAAAAATGACACACCTACGACTTAAAGGTAAAACTTTACAGAAAATATATCATTGCGAACTAATTGACATTGTACAATGTAGAAATCAAAAATTATTGTAGATACCTACCATTTTTATATTTTAATATAAATGTTTAGATTGGGAGTGAAACATTTCTGAGACAACGTTTGATGAGACAAAATAAGTAATAACTGCTGACTGTCTCGTTTAGCGATATTTCTAAATTCTTAGTAAGAAGCTCAGTCTCATCTTGAGTAGGTAGGTATTATAGAGAATTAAAATTTTCTTAGAATTTATTTATCCTCGAACTGAATATTTAAATAAGCGATCACCTACACAGTTGTCTCTTGTCGTGAGTTGAACCTTTTACGTCACAGTCTGAACTGTGATCACTGGTTTATGAATTGTTATTGCCCATTAATTACGCACTCGGAATGATAGCATTGTATAGGCATTTGTATCTTAAGCATTCGTTGATAGATAGGACTTGTGACGTAGGATATTACGATACATTTTAAAGGCGGATTACTACCCATAATCCGGTTTAGGGGAAACCGCTTAAGGTTTGCGATTTATTTCAATAATGATGATTGTAGCTGTACTAAAATGCACAAAGATCATTCAAATAGGTAACCCATCGTCACACCATAAACAAAGCAATAAATAAATCTTTTATTTCAGATCATTTTTCTTTTACTTCATAGTTTAGTAGTTAGTTCGCGTTTCAAAGGATTCTTCTTGTTTAAAATGGACGCAGAATAAAATACATTATAAGAGTAATACGACAATGTAGCAGCCATTATCAGATTTTAATATGTCTGTTATAGACATTACGACAAGGAAAAAAAATTAAAACCGTCGCGCCACTTACATGCATAATTTCACGTATCATAGAATCTAGTATAATTAAATAAGGCACAGAATATCAATATATTCTACCCCTTTTTTAAATTTTTGGTTTTAGACAACGGCACTTGGACCCAGCTATGGCTGATCACTGACTATCATGAGAATGGCTCTTTGTTTGATTTCCTGAGTGCGAGGACAATAGACTCTATGACGCTGGTGAAGATGTCGCTCTCCATCGCCACTGGTTTAGCCCATCTACACATGGACATCGTCGGCACTAAAGGCAAGTACACACTTTTTAATAATCTTTGATATAATATAATTAAAATTGTTTGAACATAAACATCTCGTGTGACTTTCCCGTGTTGGGTTTTACGTCTCTACAAAAGTGGAGTTTGCCGTAATGTTTACGCTTACCAGAGAGAGAGAGTTTAGAGAGAATTTGCAAATACCAGGTCTATCAGAAGGCACTGCTGCCCGGAACAATAAAATAAAAACAAAACAAAGAAATAGAACCCAACCACAGGAATAGTAGGAGGTAGTGAACAATGTACCCGTATTCCACTCGACCGTCACCACACGGTGCAAATTTATGCTAGTTGGGAAAAGCGTACCATTATAGGTAGTCGTATGACATCAGAATTGGTAGATTTTTTTTTTTAAACGTTGGCCCACACTAGGATTTTCTCCTGTGTCGTGGGTGCGTTTACAAACATACAAGTTCACATACACAATGACACCCAGACCCGAAACAACAATTTGTGGATCACACACTTTCTTCGTTTTTGTTTGGAAATTAGGGGCTTCTATCAAAAATGTCCCGCCCCTTTTAGGTTGGTGCATAGCTTCAGGGATACGGACGTTGAAAAAAGGTGGAAGTAATGCCTATTGGTACTGAAACATCATAATGACGTCGGTGTATTTGTTTGTGCGTGTGTAAGGGGCACCACATTACTAAACTTGAGAAAATTACCCAATTTTGAAAAATAATCTGACAAATATTTTAAGGTTCTATTGACTTTCATTTTTATGTGCTTCTCTTTACCATGATTACAAGTGTTTAAGGTTCATTTCAACTTATTCAACCGTGGCACTAAATTCAAAGATAAGGAAGGTAGTTTTGCATTGTTATATAATTTGCGCAAATGTAGTACGCAACACAATTTGTTTATTTAGTAAAAAAGCAGTAATACACAATGAAACGTTTATTTTTATCAACATTTGGACTATTTAATCTTACCTAATAATAGGGCGATTTTTATCACGACATTTGCAACTGTACCTAAGTCATTGCAAAATTGTTTTTACAAATGAATCTTCTTTTGTTTTTATTTGTGTCCAATAATTCTTTCATACATGATTTACAGCGAAAAATCTATGAAAAATAAAATAATAAATTCCCAAATTCAGGTTATATGAAAATGTTTATCCACTTGCAACATCGTAATGTACAAAGTGTAGGTAATGACAGGTCATGTCACGCGATAGACGTCCCTATGCGTGTAAGTCGGATGTCACTAGGGTGCCTCCGTCGTTGTTTCCAGAAACGACGTCTGCCTTTTTTCTTCTCAATGTCCTCGTTCAGGATCGAGCTGCCCCGCCAACTGGTTCAGATGCCTTGACAGTCTCAATTTGTATTTGGCCGCATATGTTTTTATTATAAGTGCTATGAACTTCTAAATAATTATTTATTACCTGACAAATTAACTTTTGGGAAGGTTCACTGATACCGAAGCCACACAATTTCAACCTTATTATTTCGCAATTAAGTCTATTAAACTAGATAGGAAGGAATTTGGTCAGTTGGAGATATTTCTATGCGCCTGTGTATCTGTACAACGTAGTTGGTGGCTTGTTCGTCCGCGAGTCACTTAAGTGGCCGTGGCATGCTGAACTGGTCCCATTTCATGGCAGACCTGGTTCATGAACATGTATCCAACTGTACCTACTTACAGAATAACACATCTGTGCATGTCACTTTTTAACGTGAAGTAAAGAATTTTCTTTCTTTACATTAAAATAAGGTTCGAGTTAATAGGTCCTACAGATGTACTTTATCTACTAGAAAGTGGCTTTGTTGGAGAAATCACGTGGAGAAGACAGTCAACCTCTGAAATATCAGCGGTTGACATGACCGTCTTCTTCCTATCTTTACTATTAGATTAGAAACAATATTACATTTGATTCCTTCCGTACTAATGTATCTATTTTGGTATTTACTTTAATGAGTATAATATTTCATTTCACATTTTCCGCCTTCTCACGAAACACCCACTCCAAGAAAGGTCTTTGGCTCTCTTGTTCTGTCGTAGGTAGATTATCTTTATCAATAACAGTTTCTGGAAGAAAACGAAATAAGAATTAATTGAATGTTATTTTATTATTAACTAGTTTATTTTTTTTACACTACATCGAATTATTACCGTGGCACTCAGCTTATTTATTATTTATTTGAATCTGATAGGAGTCCTTAATTCAGATACCTAGTACCCAATTATAGGGTATATACTTAGTCGTAAATAAAACCTAGGTATATGTTTCATGTCAGTAACGAATTTGTAGCATAAGGCCAAACCTAATTCCTAAAACAAATGTCAATGTTGTTGTTATTCTATTAATGTTTTGTTCGTACGCAACGTGACGTATGTAATAACTTGCTATTCTCATATTGAGGTCAATCGATTAATGAGCTCCTATCTACTCCAGTGAACATTAACACTTTATTCCACATTCTATGAAAAGTGTCACTTCATCACTTACTACTAGGCGAGATGGTGGCCCACGTTTTCCTATTAATTGTTAAAAAAAACTTCGACTACAATCTGAACGTTTTACTTGGTACTGGCCATAAATCTTCAAATAAGCTATCGATGCTACATTTAGTATCTCAAACTTGTATTATACTTACAACACATTCAAATTAGGCCTTCACGAAGTGCCCACATTATCCTCCATAGCAACTCCATAATATCGATAAATTACTTCTATTCGAGACATAATTTTGATCCAATACTTGGAAGGTTAGATCTGACGTCTTTAGATAATGAGCTTATTGACTGTCTATTCAAATGAATAATTCTTTGATGGTGACGGAAACTAAGGCGGACAAGGGCTGGTTCACACTGTTAGGCGGATCTCAGTTCGTTCTCCGCACAAGTATTAGTTATAAGAGAAACAATTAGGCATTCATATCATTCAGAGGAAAAATTCAGTTCGATTTAAATTTCTTGTGTAAAATATCAGACTAAGCTTTAATTCTGATCGGCACTATAGTGTGGGCACGCCCTAACAGGCATATAAGTTATTTTAGACCCACACGACCACATATAACGTTTCCACGTTTTAGTGTGAGTTGGATTTCCATTTTGGCTCGTGTCTTATGTCTACCTCAATCTGATGGGCAAGTAGGGTTAACATACACATTATAGGGCATATATTATTTTTCTTCATTTGTTGTAAGTAATAAACATCTCGTATTATGATAAACAGCTCTCCAAGTTCTTTTTATAAATAACGAGTATAATACCAGTAGGCGTAAATAAATAACTAACTAGTTCTTACGTTATGAAATTCATATTTCAGTAAAAGCTATAAGATTTATTTTAATTTAATAAATGTGAATAACGTTGGTACTTCAACTACTTTTGTGTGCATAAAGTACCTATTACTGAGAATTTATTTTCTTAGCTCAAAAATAAATATCTTCGTAAATTGTCTACATTTCAGACATTCTCATAACAATATTGGAATGTGTAATATTTCTATTGAGTTTTTATTAGATTTACGTATCGTATATTTTTGCAAAGTGTAGTATTTTGATCTTTGGTTTAAATACGTAGAAGGTTCTAACCTAGATATAGCCAAAATAGTAGGTGGCATAAACAGAAGATGTCTCGAAACACCGAAGCCAAATATATCCAGCAACCTCAAGTTTATTATGCAAGCCACTTAACAGTTGAGCTGTGAATGTGAGTTCACAGCTACCGGAGCACATTCACGAACTAACACAATAATGGAGATTGACGACCCAAATGCACAACGAAGTGGCCGATTTCTGTCTGAATGCCACTCATGTCGAATTGGAGCCTACTACATAAACATGTAAATCTCACTGTGTTACACCGGCACCATGAAGGGAACGTTTGGTTTCAATTTAAAGAACGACAGATGTATTTTTGTTTTTATATCGAAATATAAAGGTATAGATAATGATCGAATTATCTAGACTAGACAAGATAAATTTATGTTTAGTGCATATTAATTTAATGATAAGATACCAATATAGGAATATTGGTATTTGAAGTTATTTTTTACTCGGTGCAAGGTTAAAATGAAGTTTCTCTCTCTTTTTATATGGTATTTATTTATTCATCATTCGTTTACATTTCGGTGATTTTCTGCTAATAACAAATATATTTTTTATTGTAAGACCTTTTCTTAAAATAATTTTAATCGGTTAACAATGAATGTGGTTCTCTTATTTTTGCAGTTTAGGATGGTTATTCGTTGGCAGACAAATTTTGGCTAGGGTTGGCTCCGATTTTGCTTCAGGCGTGTCATGTCCGGACGGTTTTCTTTACCTGTAACAATAAAACGCTATAGTTTAATCGGTCTATATTTATAATAATCAGTTATGAAAGGGACATTTTTCATTGATAATCGTTTGTAAGATTGACCATATTGTTGGGGACGTTTTCCACCTTCGATTTAGCACAAGAACTACGTTGGCGGAATAAGAGCTGATTCTAGATTTAAATTTAAACCTTTTTGACTTAACAGGCAAGCCAGCCATAGCCCACAGAGACCTGAAGTCGAAGAACATTCTAGTGAAGAGTAACCTAACTTGCGTGATCGGTGACCTGGGTCTGGCAGTGCGTCACAACGTGGCGAGTGACTCTGTAGACGTGCCCACCACGAACAGAGTCGGTACGAAGCGCTACATGGCTCCCGAGGTAAGGAATATCACACTATGTTACCGGCCTAAAACAATAGATTTAATTCATGCTAGGTTAATTTGTTTTCGTAAGTACTTCACTTTACAATTACACTTTTTAAGGCTTCTGTTTACGGAGTCTGAAACCAAACTCGTATTTTGGGTAGTATTGTTCATTTGAAAGTTTTGGGACCTTCAATTGTTCGAAATTGTGAAAGCTTGTTGTTTTTAAAATATGTACTGAGAACTTTCTGTTGATAAAATATGTACTATGCTCATGGAATTTTCTGTTGATAAAAAACAACGTTCTGTCAGACTTAATAATTCCTAGTCGACGTTATTTAGTCTCGATTGTTTATTTCATGGAGTGTATTTCGATTTTTGATTAAAACATTCTCGAAACTAATTAGCATTTGAAAGTATATTTATGCGTAGTAGACTGTAGCGGTCTCGCCATTATGTTAAAATTACATTAAACACAATCACGATATTTGTGCAAGTTTATGCCTTTGTGGAGTTCGTTTCTTCAGGAATGTTGTAATAATTGTAGGTGCTCGACGAGACAATGGACACGCGGCAGTTTGACCCTTACAAGCGTTCTGACGTGTACTCGTTCGGCTTGGTGCTGTGGGAGATGGCTCGGCGATGCGGTGTGATGCCCGATGAGTACCAGCCTCCGTACTACGACTGCGTGCCACCAGACCCAGCGCTTGAAGACATGCGTCGGGTCGTCTGCATTGAGAAACGGAGGCCCAACGTACCGAACAGATGGCATTCGGACCATGTAAGTGATTTATTTATGTATAAATAAAATTGCAGTTAGTTAGTGCAGTGCATTACAGTTTTTCCTTGTTCAAAACTCATCCTTTAACTTCATGCATTTTTAAGCATTGAAGTTCGACGCTAAACCAACGAATTATCCTCTGCGACACGACTACATATATAGTATTAGCCAGTATAAATATAACAAACTCGATCTTCGCCTGTCTGTCTGTTTCTAAACTTTCTTCTTGTACCGACGCAACGGGTTTTCTTGCAGTTTTCACTATTATTTGGGGAAAGGTTATGCTGAACAATACCAGGTCCATATGGATAACACGAAACAATCTAATAAAGTTGTGTTTGTTTGTTTGTTAAAGGACAAAACTATCATAAACCTATTTTCTAGCGCATACATTGCGTGTTCTCGCTACGTACCCGTTACTTAAATATACAATTAACTACGGAATTACATATTGTCAAAAGGCTTACGTAAAAATCCACGATAATACATATCTTCTTGCTAGGGTTTACCCGCAGTAATAATTTTTATCTCTAACTAATTAATAAGTTCTTACATTAATTTGTAGATTTATCTATGACTTCGAATATTGTGAGCTTCTGTATATAATTCTATGTAACTATTACCGGTGTCCTTTCGTAAGTAAAAATATAACATGAAAATTGCATACCCCATAGAGACTGTTTAAAAATCAAACGCAGAACAACATAGAGGGTTCATTGTCCCGGTCGCAATATTTATGGCGAGCGACTGTAGACTAAAACTTTTTTTAGCATTCTTCAATCTCACGGAATTGGCTTCTTTTGTATCCCCCATGCTTTTGGAGTTTCTCTTAGTGTAAAATGCTCGCTAAATATAGATTACACAGTCCAGTCTGGACAGACGGGATTGTTTTCTAACTTGGGAATGTGTCTTTTGACTTACGAATTACAATTTACCCACATAGGTACCAACGTGTGGTCAGATAAGCGTTGATTATAATTAATATATATATACGATATATAACAATAGCAAAGTAAAAAATTGATTGGAATGATTCATTGTTATCAGTGATTTATTATCGTAATACACATAAACAAAATATTTTTCAACAAACATTACGTATAGTGACGTGCACGCACACATTCGTTAAGTTGTCGATAACAAGTGAATTAGTCGAGCTCCATTACATCTTACACGTACGTAAGTACGTATATATATTCTATATACATATTATGTCGTGTATATATGCAATAAATACGAATACAGTAACTGCCTCTACTGAATTTTTACCGAACTTTTCATAGAGGTACACTACCCAAATTTTTTTTTTGTAGACACGCGTTTTTATATGTTAGAAGCAGATGAACGGGTCACTCACGTTATCTATTTGAAGTAGTAGTAAATTAAACACAATATCACGCCTTTTTATCTCCGAAGGGGTAGGCAGAGGTGCACATCACGGCACTTAATGCCACTGAACAATGTAACACCCACTTTCCACTAC